CAGTGAGGTCAGTAAATTAATGATTACTAGGACATTACTAGTATTACTACTATGATTACACCTCTGCACACACTAAAAACAAAAATATAAGTGAAAGATGGCATTATACTGAAAGCTGAGATGATTCACCATATTTTAGAATATATTACTGCTTTTTTTTCCTTATTTCCATTGAGCCAGGACAGCCCCAGTGAGACCATGTAGGGACAAAATAACTCCCAGCCTGATGTGGAGGAGGAACTGATGATGGAAGCCTGATGTCTACTCAAGAATGAGGAAAAAGGTGTCATTCTGCCCCTCCCCACTTTTCCTTTGATTATAAAACTGTAGCCCTGTTAAGCTCTCTGAGCAATACTCCCTTGCCCATCTTCCTTGCAATGAACCGCTTCTTGTCTATCACTTTTCCTCTGGCTGACTTCATTCTGCACTAAGACATCAACAACCTTAGACCACCCCCTCCCACCCCACTCTCCTCTGCCCTTGAACACATTTCTGTGGTTTCAATGTCTTTCTTATCTGTTTTGTTGGGGAACTCACCATTCTTCTTATGCATCTCTCTAGGTTTGTAGTGCGGAGAAGGCAATAGCACCCCACTCCAGTACTCTTGCCTGGAAAATCCCATGGACGGAGGAATCTGGTAGGCTGCAGTCCACGGGGTCGCTGAGAGTCGGACACGACTGAGCGACTTCACTTTCATTTTTCACTTTCATGCATTGGAGAAGGAAATGGCAACCCTCCAGTTTTCTGCCTGGAGAATCCCAGGGACGGGGGAACCTGGAGGACTGCCATCTATGGGGTCGCACAGAGTCGGACACGACTGAAGCGACTTAGCAGCAGCGGCAGCAGGTTTATAGCGCTAGTTCCCTACCTTCGCTTGGCTGCACACTGGAATCACCCGGGGGAGCTTTAGCAAACTATTGGCGCATGGGTCTGATACTGATATACTTGGCCAGGGGTCTGAGCATCCGTTTCAAATTTCCCCAGGTGATTCTAGAGGGCAGCCAGGGTTGAGATCCACTCAAGGAGGAGGAAGAGTTCAGCGACCCAGGTAACCCTCCCTTTCTTTCCCTTCTGTGCCCTGCACACCTTTCTCTAATCAAGCCCACCATACTGCACCGTTAATTGCAGGGTGCATACCTATCTCCCTAACTACACTTTGAACATCTGCAGTCAGCCATTTTTGCATTTCTGGAGCTCGATGTCTGGCCTGACACTTCGTCGAGACTTGGAAAATGCTTCACGGGAGAATAAAATGTCATCAACACACTTATTTGTGTCCTCCAAGTGCCAGACACTGCAGCGCTCAGCCAGGATCTAGGGAGTGAGAGAGATGGAAGTGCGCAGGCGCAGAGCCCTTCCCCTGCCCCCGCACACTGGAGTGAGCCCCGCCCCCAGTCGCGGAGCCAACCAGAGGGCGCGAGGCAGGACCAGCCTCCCCGGGCGGTCAGAGAAAATCGCTGCGGTGTTCCAGCCGGGCCAGAGGCAGATTCTTCGATGAGCTCCTGCTCGATTGGCCGACCTTCCACGGTGGGGTAAAGGTCGCAGAGGCGGGGCCGGAGGCTGCGGAGCCGGCCGGGTAGAGCGCGCTGCGGGAGGTAGGCGGTGGCTGAGGAAGGTGAGCGGCGTTCTAGGTTTACGGAGGCGTCGGCCGGAGTCGCCTGAGGAACCCCTACCTGAGGAACCCCGGGAACTGACCTCACCTGCGCCCTGAGAGCGCTCAGACGAACCGCCTCGGGACTGATTCGCGCCAATTAAAATGCCAGTATAAAGGCCGAGGGGAGGCGGGTAACCTGATGATAAACCTGGTTCGAGTCTGGCTTCCCGCTGTTTGTGGTCTTTGACTCCCCTTGTAACAACTCAGCGCCTCAGTTTCTTTATTTGTGGAACACACTGATAATTCTTGCCTTACATGATGATTGAGAAGATTAAATGAGGCGATGAGTGTGAAGCTTGGAGTGATTTTCGGCGCGCCCTGGATTCTGGATAAGTAGGTAGTTACTCCATCCCCAACAGTTCACCAGAACCTACCCACTGGTGTCCACTTTTCAGTGTCAAGGTGTCTGAGGAGGTGGCTTGGCTAGTGAAGACTAAGAATAGAAGGTGGGGGATACGTGAAGGTGTAGGTAGATGATTATCTCTTTCTTCGTTTTATTAGGCCCATTTCAGAGTGCGGGGCTCTTTATGCAGAGTCTAATTTTATTTTTATTCTGATCAATGAGTTGGAAATAATTGCAAGGCTGAGAGACTTGTTACACACAGGCCAAACAGAAGTGTTTTTGTACCCCTTTATTTTCTAACCATAAGGTTAAACACTGTGCACGCATTATCCATGTTGGTTTCAATCCTCTGTATGAGGTTTTTGTTTTGTTTTTTACTTTTGCTATTGCCAAATAGACTTGAGCCTTGCCCACCCCACCTTGGGGAGGAGGTGGCTGACAAGCGAATGCCGCAGCTTTTGCTTAGAGGTGTGTTCTGACCGTTTATGTAACCTCTCCTGGGGCAGAATGATTTGGTCTAGAGGAGATCCAGCCCTAATTTAGATTACTTATTTGCGGTAAATTCAGTTCTTCTTAGGAACGTTAAATAGAGACTTTGAAAGCATTTCATGTTCCATTTATTGCAGTAAAGCGAAATATGTACTTTTGAGAAAGCTTATTACAGATTTTGATGTGACTTGACTTGAGAAAGAACAGCTACCGACTATGCATTATTTCCACTTTCCCGCCCAAAAGTAGTGAAAAATAAATGCATTTTAATGTATGGTGTATGTTATAGGGGCTTCAGACTTATAAAGGGCAAGTTACCAAAGGATTTTTGGTAGACCTGGACAGTGCAAGGAGATAGAACTTTGTTTTTCTTCTCTGCATGTGTCTTTTGTACCGTGTATAAATGAACTCCTTCCCTGCAACTGCTATTTCTACAGTCTTACTTTAGGTGTGATATGACACTGATTAAAGCAAGCTTTGGCTTTGGGGAAGCATTGGGTCTCTTCTTCTGACGCAAAGTTCCAGACCTGTGTCTTGTTACAGTTTGTAGTGGGGAGAAGACTGCTGCAAACCACTGGCACATTAATTTCACAGCTTGGGCCCCTGAAAAGGAGGTCTTGGTCACAGGTGAAATTGTGATAGCTGTTCTCCCTGCCTTTGTTTTTTGTATTCAGTGGTTTTTTTATCTGTCTGAGAGTACTCCTGACAATAAGAATTATTCTGCTTTTGAAGCCAGAATCAGAATTGATGCTAGACAGTGATAGAGTTGGACACCCAGCTAATTTAGCACAGCTGGGAGAGGAAAGGTAAGTGGAAAGAAGACACCAGTGAAGGCACTTGGTGGTGACCATCAACGTCCATTAGCAGTTAATTCTGTGATTCCAGCTTCTGTTTAGTGGTTACCACCAGTACCATAGATGCCTGCTCTGGGAATAACACAAGACCTTTCTCACTAGGAGATGAGCATTTTAAGATTTGGATCTCTTATCTTTTTGAAACCTAGATGAAGATCCAGTTTCAGACGTGAGACTCACTGAGTGATCATTTCATTGAGATCAACTTGAATGACAAGGTGAAAAGTGCAAGAGGAATGTGGTATGACTGAGGTATGTCTGATGTGGTAGATAACTCTCTCTAGGAATTGAGGGACCATGGAAAGAATCTACTAATTATGGAATACTGTACATATATTTCCTTTTGACCTCCTCATATTTCCTTTTGACCTCCTCATAATCCTATCAGGTATTTGAAGCTCCATAAAGGAAACTGAAGCCCAGAGAGGCTAAGTATTTAAGATAACACAGATAGCTGGTCACCGATTCTAATCACCACCTCTATCCTGCTATGTGCCAGGCACTGTTCAATTAGTCCTTTCTATTTTAACTTTTCTAATCTTCCCAAGAACCTATGAGCTAAGTACTTTTATTTTCCTCATTTCATGATAAGGAAATTGAGGCACAGAGATTAGTGATTTCTTGGTTGTGTGGCAGAAGCACGCTATTCTGGCTCTACCAGCCGCCTTTTGGTTAGTATTTCCTTTACTTTTGGCTTTATTGTTACTTAATGAAGTTTTTTTAAAATTAAATAGTGAACTTTTATTATGAAATCAAACTGAAATGAACACACATACTGAATGTATACCTTAACATTAAGAGATGATACCACCTAGGTCAGGGTAGAGGACCATGCCAGCCATGCTGAGACTGGTCTATCCCAATTACAACTACTTCTGTACTCCCATTAGTGCATTCTTCTGACTTTTACAGTAATTTCCTCCTTGTGTTAAAAAAAAAAAAAGTTTTTTCCTAAATCTGTATTCTTCAGCATTATAGTGTACCTCTTGCTCATTATATTAAAAAAAAAAAATCTCTTAATCTGTAGGTTTTTTCCCTATTCCTTTCTTTTCCTTATAATCTATCTGAAGAACTTGGCTCATTTGACCTATATATCCTACAGTCTGGATTTTGCAATTTGCATACTCATGTGCAGTTGATTATGTTCCTCTGCCCTGGGTAATTCTTAAACATTTGTAGCTGGATCAAAGATTGGATCAGACTCAGATTCAATTCCTTTGGTAATTCTCTAGGTGGGGTTGGCAGGGTCATAGGAGGTGCAGAATGTCTTGTTTCTCTTTGTGTTTCCAGCACCTGTTAATACTTAATGCCTGTATATGTTCATTGAAGGCTGCAAAATAGTGATATTCTAATTCTATCATTTCTTTTACTTGCTTGTTAGAATATTAGCCCCTCAGTTGAATATGTAGCCATAAAATCTCTTTAGGAAAGGCAGCATAAACAATTTGTTGCATTTATTTACCAATTTTTGAGGAAATGAATTGGTTCCTTATCTTCTGAAGATAATTCTTTTAAAAAACCTAATATCAATATGAAGTCATAAATTTAAACATTTTATGGGTTTCAGTTCAATGTAGTTATTACAATTGTCAAAGCTAATGTGCTCACATCTTTGAGTGACAGGAGCCTACTCAAGTCTATCCTTTTGATATGACCCTACTAGTCTTTTTTTTCTTTGGCTATTTCCTGACCAGGGATTGAACCTGTGCCCCCATCGTTGGAAACAGAGTCTTAACCACTGGACCATCAGGGAAGTCCAGCACTACTAATCTTTAATAACTCCCTTGTTGTCTGATATCTTGAATCAGTTCTGTCCCAAATCTGAAATAATATCTTCAAAAAACTTTTTTTTTTTTTTCCGAAAGGAAATAGCATTTCAAGATCATAATCTGTATTCTTGGGATCCTCAGTCAATCATGGTTTTAGTCTTTTCTGTAGACAGGTAGATATAACTATCCTAGCTCTGTCTCTGGAAACACACACAGAGCTCTTCATTTGTAAAACTGAAATTCTATACCCATTAAATAACTCACCATTCCCTTGGCAATCACCATTCTACTTTCTGTATAAGTGGGATCATACAGCATTTGTTTGTGACTAGCTAATATACTTAAGGTTCATCCGTGTTGTAACTTAGGTAAACATTTCCTTCCTGTTTAAGGCTGAATGGGCTTCCCTCATGACTCAGACAGTAAAGAGTCCACCTGCAATGCAAGAGACCAAGGTTTGATCCCTGGGTCAGGAAGACACCCTGGAGAAGGAAATGGCTACTTACTTCAGTATTCTTGTCTGGAGAATTCCATGGACAGAGGTGCCTGGTGGGCTGCAGTCCATGGGGTCACAAATTGTTGAACACCACTCAGCTGCATACGCTACACTACTACTTAAGGCTGAATAATATTCCACTGTATGGTTTATAGCATATTTTACTTATCTATTCATCTGCTGTTGGAACTTGGGTTGCTTCCACCTTGTAGCTATATTTTGTGAATAATACTGCTGTGAACATGGATGTTCAAATATTTTTTTAAGACCCTGCTTTCAGTTCTTTTGTCAAATTGCTGAATCATAATGGCATTTATACATTTAATTTTTTGAAGAACTACCATGCTATTTTTCATAGCAGCTATACCGTTTTATATTCCTGACAGTGCACAAGTGATTCAGTTTCTCTACATCCTCACGAGTATCTGTTATTTCTGTTTCTTTTAGCCATCGTAATGGGTATGAGGTGGTATCTCGTAGTTTTGATTTGCATTTACCTAATGGGTAATGTTGAAATAATTTCATGTGTTTATAGCCTTTTTAATATTTTCTTTAGAGAAATGTCTCTTCAGGTTTCTTGCCCATTTTTTAATCAGATTTTTTTTTGTTAAGTTTCTGGAATTCTCTGTATATTCTGGATTGTTTATTGTTATTTAGTTGCTAACTGTGTCTGACTCTTGCAACCCCATGGACTATAGCCCACCAGGCTCCTCTGTCCATGGGATTTCCTAGGAAAGAATACTGTAGTAGGTTGCCGTTTCTTTCTCCAGGGGATCTTCCCCACTCAGGGATCAAACCTGTGTCCCATGTGTCTCCTGAATCGGCAGGGAAATTCTTTACCACTGAGCCACCATGAAAGCCACATATATTCTGGATATTCCTTATCACATAAATGATTAGTAAATATTTTCTCCCTTTCCATGGATTGCCTTTTTAATCTGTTGACAGTATCTTTTGATGCACAAAAAAATGTTAAATTTTTGTCAAGTCCAGTTTTTGTTTTTACTTTTTGTTGCCTCTGCCTTTGATGTCATATCTAAGAAACTATTGCCAAATTCAGGATTGTGAAGCTTTTACCCTGTGTTTTCTTTTAAATTTTTACAGTTTAAGCTCTTACATTTAGGTCTTTGATCCATTTGAGTTAATTTTTGTGTGGTCTTAAGAAGGGTACAACTTCATTCTTTTTACAGTTTTCACAGCAGAGGAAGAGACTGACTATATCCTTTTGAAGGCTTTTTGGCACTCTTATTGAAAACCGTTTGACAGTTCAGTTGCTCAGTCATATCCAACTCTTAGTGACCCCATGGACTGTAGCATGCCAGGCTTCCCTGTCCATCACCAACTCCCAGAGTTTACTCAGACTCATGTCCATCAAGTCAGTGATGTCATCCAACCATCTTGTCCTCTGTCATCCCCTTCTCCTCCTGCCTTCAATCTTTCCCAGCATCAGGATCTTTTCCAGTGAGTCAGTTATTCCCATCAGATGGCCAAAGTATTGGAGTTTTAGCTTTAGCATCAGTCCTTCCAATGAATATTCAGGGTTCATTTCCTTTAGGATTGACTGGTTGGATCTCCTTGCAGTCCGAGGGGCTCTAAAGAGACTTCTCCAACACCAAAGTTCAAAAGCATCCTCGGCGCTCACATTTGACAATAAATGTGGGGGATTATATCTGGGCTGTTTATTTTATGCAATTGTCTATGCCAACACCACTCTTGATTTATGTTGCTTTGCAAAGGAGTTTTAAATCAGGAAGCTGTTACTACTTCAGCTTCATGCTGTTACTCCTCCAGCTTCGTTCTTCTTTTTCAAGATTACATTCAGGTGATGACATTCAAGCTATTCATGGTCCCTTGAGATCCTGTATGTATTTTAGGATGGGTTTTCTGTTTCTGAAAAAAATGTCATTGGGATTTTGATGGGGATTACATTGAATCAGTAGATTGCTTTGGTCAGTATCAATGTCTTAATATTAAGTCTTATGATCCATGAATATTGGATGTGATCCCATTTACTTATGTCTTTTTAATTTTTTTGAGCAAATGTTTTGTAGTTTTCATTGTATAAGACTTTCACCTCCTTGGTTAAGTTTACTCCTATTTTTATTCTTTGATGCTGTTGTATTTTTGTTTGTTTGTTTTCATTTATTTTTATTAGTTGGAGGCTAATTACTTAACAATATTGTAGTGGTTTTTGCCATACATGACATGAATCAGCCATGGATTTACATGTATTCCCCATTCTTTGATGCTGTTGTAAATGGAATTCTTTTATTTTCCATTTTAGGTTTTTTGTTGTTAGTGTATAGAAATGCAAATGGTTTTTATATGCTGATTTTCATATCCTGCTGCTTTGCTGAATTCATTTATTCTAGTGTGTGTGTGTGTGTGTGTGTGTGTGTATTTAAGGTTTTTGGCATATAAAATCATATCATGTGCAAATAGAGATAATTTGACTTCTTTTCCAATTTGGATACCTTTTATTTCTCTTTCTTGCTTAAATGCTTGGTGAGAACTTCCATTTCTATATGGAATAAAAGTGGTGAATGTGACATCCTTGCCTTGTTCCTCATCTTAGAGGAAAAACTTATAGTCTTTTACCATTGAATATGATGTTTGCTGTAGCTTTTTCATATATGGCTTTTGCTGAGTTGTGTGCGTACTAGTTTGCTTCAATCATGTTCTACACTTTAAGACCCCAGGATCCTCTGTCCATGGGATTCTCCAGGCAAGAATACTGGAGTGGGTTGCCATTTACTCCTCCAGGGGATCTTTTGTTGAGTTAGTTTCCTTCTATTCCTAGCTGTTGAGTGTTTATCACAAGAAGATGTTGAATTTTGTAAAATGCTTTTTCTGCATCAATTGAGATGATTGTATGTTTTTTTCCTTCATTCCATTAATGTAGTGTAACATGTAATACACTGATTTCTTTTCATATGTTGAACTAATTCCTCCATTCCAAGTATAAATCCCACTTGAATATGATGTATAATCCTTTTAATATGCTGCTGAATTTGGTTTACTAGTGTGTGCATGCTCAGTTGCTTAAATCGTGTCCAACCCTTGCAATCTCATGGACTATAGCCCTCCAGGCTCCTCTGTTCATGGGATTTTTCCAGGCAAGAATACTTGCAATGGGTTGCCATTTCCTCCTCCAGGGAATCTTCCCAACCCATGGTTCAAATCCTTGTCTCCTGTGCCTCCTGCATTGGCACTAAGATTCTTTACCACTAAGCCACCCGGAAAGCCTTCGGTTTACTAGTATTTTGCGTCAATGCTTGTAAGGGATATTACTATTTTTCTTGTATTGTCTGACTTTTTAATATTAAGGTGATGCTATCCTCCAAGAATGAGTTAGAAAGTATTCCCTTGTCTAATTTTTTGGATAGTTTGAGAAGAATTGTCAGTAGTTCTTTAGATACTTTGGTAGAATTCCTCAGTGAAGCCACTTTATCCACGGCTTTTCTTTTGGGGAGAGTTTTTTGATTACTGATTCAGTCTTATTACTAGTTACAGATGTATTACGATTTTCTATTTCTCTGTGATTCAGTCTTGGTAGGTTTTGTGTTTATAGGAATTTGTCCATTTCATGTCGATTATCTAATTTGTTGGCGTACAATTGTTCATAATATTGTTTAATACTTTTTTCTGTATAATTGGTAGTAATGTTCCCACTTTGATTTCTGATTTTAGTAACTTGAGTCTTCTCATTTTTTCCTGTTTATCAGGTAAAATTTGTCATTTTTGTTGATCTTTTCAGCTGTCTTCCATTGACTTTCTCTATTACTTTCCTAGTCTCTATTTCCTTTGTTTCTGCTCTAATTAATCTTTATTTTTTTCTTTAGCTTTGGGTTTAGTTTGTTCTTTTTCTAGTTCCATAAGTTGCAAACTTAGGTTGTTAATTTGAGATCTTTCATGTTTTTAATGTAAATTTTTATAACTCTTAAATTTCCCTCTTAGGATTGCTTTCACTGTGTCCCATAAGTTTTGAAATATTGTGTTTTGTTTTCATTAATATCTTAAGAGTTTTCTAATTTCTCTTGTGATTTCTTCTTTCATCCATTGGTTATTTACAAATGTGTTGTCTACTTTCCATAAAGTTAGGAATTTTTGTTTTAGTTTTTGATTTCTAAGGTCACCTCTTGGTGGAGACTTAATTTGTGGTTTAACATATAGTCTATCCTGATAATGTCCCATATGCACTTGAAAGACTGTATTCTGTTGTTGTTGAGCAGTGTTCTTTTCTTTTCTTTTTTTCTTTTTGATCAGCTTGTGGGATCTTAGTTCCCTGACCAAGGATCAAACCCTTGCTGCCTGCAGTGGAAGCATGGAGTCCTAAACCACTGGATTACCAGGGAATTCCCCAGAGTGTTCTTTATAAATCTACTAGATCTGGTTGTTTTACTCTGTCACGTTGTCTGTTTCATTACTTTTCTTCTGTCTGTATTCTTGAGAATGGGGTGTTAAAATCTCCCAACTATGTTGTAGAACTATTTCTTCCTTCAATTCTGTCAGTTTTTACTTCACGTGTTTTAGTGGTCTGTTGTTAAGTGCATAAGAGTTTATAATTGTTATGTATTCTAGCTGTATTGAATCTTTTATTAATATGTAATGTCCTTTTTTGTCTCTAGGAGCCTTTTTTGATTTAAAGTCTATTTTGTCTAGTACTAATATAGCTACAGTTTCTTTTTCTTTTTTTTAAAAATTATTTTCATGAAATACCTTTTACCATTCTTTCACTTTCAATATCTTTGTGTCTCTGGCTCTAAAATGGGTCTTGTTTTAGGCACATAGTTGGATCATATTTTCTTGAATTCATTCTACCAGTTTGTCAAGAGTTTGACTCTTTTACATTTAGAGTGATTACCGACAGGTAGGGCATTACTATCTGTAATTTTGCTATTTTTTGGTAACATCTTATGGCTTTTTTCCCGCCTCATTTCCTGTATTACTGTCTTCTTGTGTTTAGTTGATTTTTTTTAAATAGCAGAATATTTTCTTTTTCTATATGTTCTATCATTGTTTTCTCTGTGGTTAACATGAGGATTACATTTACCATTATAAAATTATAACACTAATTTGAAGTGATCACAGCTTCAATTAAATAACGTATAAAATTTCTGCTGCTTTACAGCTCTATCCCCACCTCTTTCAGCTGTTGATGTTTCTCAGTTACATCTTTATACATGTGTGCCTGAAAACAAATTAAGAATTCTAGTAAATGAGTTAGTCTCTTAAATTAGGTAGAAAATGTGTGACATTACAAACCAAAGTTATAATAATATTAGCTTTAGACTAATGATTGTTTTGTAAAAAACGATCTGTTTCTTAAGTCATGTAGAAAGCAAAAAGTGGAGTTACACATCTTTGTTATGATAGTAGCAGCTTTTATAGTTGCCCGTGTGTTTCCCATGCCATTCACTTGGCCTTCCATGTGGCTTTGCTTTACTGTCTGTGTCCGTTCACTTCAGCCAGGGGGACTCCCTTTACCATTACTTGCAGGGCAGGTCTAGCGGTAGGGAACTCCTTAAACTTTTGCTTATCTGGAAATATCTTTCTTTTGTTCTCACTGTTGAAGGATAGTTTTGCCAGACATAGGATTCTTGACTGACAGTTTCTTTCTTTCAGAAAGAAATATATCCTCTCACTACCTCCTGGTATCCAAAGTTCCTGTCAAGAAACCTGCTGGTAATCTTGCTGATGATTCCTTGTGTGTGATGTGTCACTTCTCCCTTGCTGCTTTCAAGATTCTTTGTTCTTTCAAAAGCTTGATTGTAGTACTTCTTGGTGTAGGTCTCTGAGTTTATATTTCTAGGAGTTTGTGTCTTTCAACAAATTTGGGAAGTTTTCAGCCATCATTTCATAATCTCCCTGCCACCCTGTCTTTTCTCCTTCTGGGACTCCCACAATTCGTGTGTTAACACAACTGGTGGTGTCTCACAGGTTCTTTAGGTAAGGTTCACTTTTATTCAGTCTTTTTTTTTTTTTTTCTATTCTTTAGACTTGATAATTTCCATTGTCTTACCTTCACACTTACAGGGATTTACCCTTTTGCCTGCTCAAATCTGCATTTGAATGCCCCTAGTAAATTTTTTATTTCAGTTATCACACTTTTCAACTCCAGAATATTTTTGATTTTTTTAATTTGTTTTCTGTCTCTTTACTGATATTTCTCTTTTGATCATATATTTTTTCTTATTTTTTCCTCCACATCTTCCTTTAGTTCTTTGAATTTTTTAAGGTGGTTGTTTTAAATGCTTTGTGTAGTAGATCTGCCATCAGGTTTTGTTTTGTTTTCAGGGACAGTTTTTTTATTTTATTTTATTTTTCCTTTGAATGAGCCATGCTTTCCAGATTCTTTGTATGCTTTACTTTTTATTGAAAACTGGAGATTTGAATCTAGTAATATCTATGGAAATAAAATTCTCTTTCTTTGCCATGGTTTGCTGGGTTTTGTTTTTCTTTGTTTTATTTATTTATTTATTTATTTTATTTATTTATTTTTTCTTTGTTTTAAATTGTGGCTGCCTTTGTGCTGAGGATCAGCCTGACCTATAAACTTGAGGTGTTTTTAATCCTACACCTTTCTCTGGGTACATGCAGTGGCTTTCTAATTCCCCATATATGCATTTAGAAGTGCTCTATGTGAACCTTGTTTGAATTCTGATTTGGAAAAAAAAACAACAAGATTTTTTAAGACATTTGGGGGAAAATTGAACATGGACTAGATATTAAGTGATAGTAAGGAATTAATATAATTGGGTGTGACACTGGTATTGAAATATGTTTAAAATGAGTCTGTATTTATTGGAGGTGAGTACTAAAATATAAGTGGGTAAGAGAAATGAAATAAATATGGAAGAATGTTGGTTATTATTGATCTTGTGTTAATGAATATACATGGGTTCATTTAACTCTTTCTCTACTTGCATGTAGTTTTAAAATTTTCTGTAATGAAAAGTTTAAAAACTAGCTGAAAGGTGGTAGCCATTGAAGTTGGCTGATACTTTCAAAAAGTATCTTTATTTAAATAAAAGTGAGAGAGATGAACATAGTGCATTAGAGACCAGAGTTTAAAGGGGAGAGAGTACTCTATGATGTCAGCATCAAAAATGGCAGAATTGGAGAATTTGCAACATGTTCCTAGATTTAGCTGAAAATGAATTATTGGTAACTAGTATTGGAGGGTTTCACTATCTGAAGTAGAAGCAGAAGGACAGAAGGGTTATTTGCAAGAAAAACTGAACTAGCAGCAGGGAGGATCATTTTACTTCTCTGGGTCTCACATGGTTATAGCATCTGATATATTAGTACAATTCTCCCAGCACTTTCCTGCCAGCTCTGGACAGCTAGAGATGTTGGATTAAACACTTTCCAAGGTTCTCTCACGTTGCGAGATTCCATGATGCTAATGAATATGTATGTATGATTGTGCCTCTGCAAAGGAAGAGTTAGATACCATAAGAATTCAAGGAAATTTTTTCCTATAGAATGGCAAACTCTTAGACAACAAGAGCATGTGATGGGAGGGTAGACTGAATATAAACTTGTGTGTGTGCCAGTCAAATAGAATACGTTGTGTTGCTAGCCTTTGATCTACTTAGAAATAAAGACCACCTAAGAATGTGACATTTAATTTACCCTTTGAGTTAGGCTAGTGAATTAATTGTTAAACTAATGAATTCAGACAATTCTTTCAGTTTTTTGGGAAGCAGCTTCCAAAAAATGTTTATTAGCATCACTTGCTTTTCACATTACCTAGTTAAAACAAATAGTTTTCTTTGTGTTTATGTGTGTAAAATCCCATAATGTTTCATTTTAGAGGAGAACGTTATAAAATTCTAAAAATTAGTTTCCTTAGAAGTCATAGAAGTTTTGGCATAGGAATGCTTAAATTGCCCAAGAGTAGTATGTTCTTTTAAATATAATTTTCTTTAACACCTATTGCACTTTTTTTGAATTTAGGCAATTCAATTTTTTATTGCCAATCTCAACTTCTTTTGACTCTACAAAAGAAATTGTATCTACAGCAGCCCCTAAAGCCAAGGAGTCCAGCAAATCATCAGATAAGACTCATGACTGAAAAACAGGTAAACTTGAAATATTTGAAACCAGTGTTTATCAAAGTATGTGTCAAAGAATGCCACATGGACAAATGTGAAAAATCTTACTTTAAAAGGCTACTTTAGTAAAATCATTTTGGGACATGAGGGGTTAAAACTGTTAAATGGTATCCATATTCTAAGACCTCACAACATATCAGTCTCCAGAAAGAGACTTTATTATACAGTTTTTCCTACTTACATAATACTAACTTGATGACTGTTTCATTAGACTGGTCTTCAGTTTATACTTGGAAAATGCAGTTCTCAACTATTTTGGAATTTGCAAATAGTTATGTTTTTCTTCAAACATAATTTAACTCAGATGACCATTATATCTACTACTGTGGGCAAGAATCCCTTAGAAGAAATGGAGTAGCCATCATAGTCAACAAAAGAGCCCCAAATGCAGTACTTGGATGCAATCTCAAAAACGACAGAATGATCTCTGTTCGTTTCCAAGGCAAACCATTCAGTATCACAGTAATCCAAGTCTATGCCCCGATCAGTAATGCTGAAGAAGCTGAAGTTGAATGGTTCTATTTATGAAGACCTACAAGACCTTCTAGAACTAACACCCAAAAAAGATGTCCTTTTCATTATAGGGGACTGGAATGCACAAGTAGGAAATCCAGAAATACTTGGAGTAACAGGCAAGTTTGGCCTTGGCATACAGAATGAAGCAGGGCAAAGGCTAACAGTTTTTCCAAGAGACCGCACTAGTCATAGCAAACACCCTCTTCCAACAACACAGGAGAAGACTCTGCAAGTGGACATCATCAGATGGTCAATACCAAAATCAGATTGATTATATTCTTTGCAGCCAAAAATGGTGAAGCTCTATACAGTCAGCAAAACAAGACCGGGAGCTGACTGTGGCTCAGATCGTTAACTCCTTATTGCCAAATTCAGACTTAAATTGAAGAGAGCAGGGAAAACCACTAGACCATTCAGGTATGACCTAAATCATATCCCTTATGATTATACAGTAGAAGTGACAAGTAGGCTCAAGGGATTAGGTCTGATAGAGTGCCTGAAGAACTATAGACAGAGGTTCATAACACTGTACAGGAGGCAGTGATCAAGACTATCCCCAAGAAAAAGAAACGCAAAAAGGCATAGTGGTTGTCAGAGGAGGCCTTACTGTGAAGGCTATGAAAAGAAGAGAAGCGAAAGGCAAAGGAGAAAAGGAAAGATACACCCATTTGAATGCAGAGTTCCAAAGCAAGGGAACGTTTCACACAAAGATGGGCACCGTAAAGGGCAGAATAGTATGGATCTAATAGAAGCAGAAGATATTAAGAAGAGGTGGCAAGAATCCACAGAAAAACAATGCAAAAAAGGTCTTCACTACCCAGATAAGCATGATGATGTGATCACTCATCTAGAGCCAGACATCCTGGAATGTGAAGTCAAGGGGACCTTAGGAAGCATCACTACAAACAAAGCTAGTGGAACTGATGAAATTCCAGTTGAGCTATTTCAAATCCTACAAGATGATGCTGTGATAGTGCTGCACTCGATATGCCAGCAATTTGGAAAATTCAGGAGTGGCCACAGGACTGGAAAAGGTCATTTTTCATTCCAGTCCCAAAAGCAATGCCAAAGAATGCTCAAATTACCACACAATTGCACTCATCTCACACGTTAGCTAGCAAGGTAATGCTCAAAATTCTCCAAGCCAGGCTTCAACAGTTCGTGAACCATCAACTTTGAAATGTTCAAGCTGGATTTAGAAAAGGCAGAGGAAGCAGAGATCAAATTGCCAACATCCATTGGATCATCAAAAAGGCAAGAGAGTTCCAGAAAAGCATCTACTTTTACTTTATTGACTATGCCCAAGCCTTTGACTGTGTGGATCACTACAAACTGTGGAAAGTTCTGAAAGAAAAATGAAATACCAGACCACCTGACCTGCCTCCTGAGAAATCTGTATGCAGGTCAGGAAGCAACAGTTAGAACTGGACATGGAACAACAGACTGTTTCCAAATAGGGAATGGAGTATGTCAAGGCTGTATATTGTCATTCTGCTTATATAACTTATATGCAGAGTACATTATGTGAAATGCTGGGCTGGATGAAGCACAAACTGGAATCAAGATTGCTGGGAGAAATATCAATAACCTCAGATACACAGATGACACCACCCATATGGCAGAAAGTGAAGAGGAGTTAAAGAGCCTCTTAATGAAAGTGAAAAAGGAGAGTGAAAAAGTTGGCTTAAATCTCAACATTCAGAAAACTAAGATCGTCACATCACTTCTTGGCAAATAGATGGGGAAACAGAGTCAGACTTTAGTTTTCGGGGCTCCAAAATCACTGCAGATGGTGACTGGAGCCATGAAATTAAGACACTTTTTCCTTGGAAGAAAACTTATGACTAACCTAGACAGCATATTAAAGAGCAGAGACTACTTTGTCAACAAAGGTCCATCTAGTCAACACTATGGTTTTTCCAGTAGTCATGTATAGATGTGAGAGTTGGACTATAAAGAAAGCTGAGTGCCGAAGCATTGATGCTTTTGAACTGTGTTGTTGGACAAGATTCTTGAGAGTCCCTTGGACTGCAAGTAGATTAAACCAGTCCATCCTAAAGGAAATCAGTCCTGAATATTCACTGGAATGACTGATGCTGAGGCTGAAACTCCAATACTTTGGCCACCTGATGTGAAGAACTGAGTCACTGGAAAAGACCCTGATGCTGGGAACGATTGAGGGCAGGAGGAGAAGAGGATGACAGAGGATGAGATGGTTGGATGGCATCACTGACTCAATGGACATGAGTTTGGGTAAACTGGGAATTTGCAGTGGACAGGGATGCTTGTCCTGTTGCAGCCCATGGGGTCACAGAGAGTTGGACACGACTGAGTGACTGAACTGAGCTGATGTTTTTCTTTCTCTTAAAAGAGTTATCAGGACTTCTATCCACTCCAGTACTCTTGCCTGGAGAAGCTCATGGACAGAAGAGCCTGGTAGGCTACAGTCCATGGGGTCCCTAAGAGTTGGACACAACTGAGCGACTTCACTTTGACTTTTCGCTTTCATGCATTGGAGAAGGAAATGGCAACCCACTCCAGTGTTCTTGCCTGGAGAATCCCAGGGACAGAGGAGCCTTTTGGGCTGCCCTTTATGGGCTCGCACAGAGTCGGACACGACTGATGTGACTTAGCAGCAGCAGCAGCATGACTTCCATGGGAGTCCATGGTTGAGACTGCCTCCCAGTGCATAGGGTGTGGGTTCAATCCCTAATCGGCGACCTAAGATCCTACATGCCTCTTGGCCAAGAAACCAAAGCATAAAACAGAAGCAATATTGTAACAAATTGAATAAAGACTTTAAAATGGTCCATATAAAAAAAAAATCTTTAAAAAGTTGTCAGGGAACAGTATTTGTATAATTTGGTCGTTCAAAATGTCACTTTTTTTATAGAGCTTTTTTTTTTTTTTTTTAATGAGTTATAGTAGGTTTCCACTTATATACCCACACAGTGCTTTTGGCTCCCCAAACAGATACTAGCAACAGTTTTAGTTCTGTTTCTTTAATCTTTGTGACCAGAAGACAAAAATAAGGGGAAAAAATTGTCAGGGTGGGGAGAGTTACAGAAAGGATAAAGAAACAGAAGAAAGTCAGCAGTCAAAAGGAAAGATTTGTTTGCTACTGTGAGCCATAATCCTATCAAAGAGTTATCAGAACAATTTGGTTTTGTCTTGATAAATTGATATATCTCAATTTAAAATTGAGGTATAGTTGATTTACAGTATTAACTTCAGGTGTGTAACATAGTGATCAGTAGTTTTACAGATTTTACTCCATTAAAAGTTATTACAAGATAATGGTTATAATACTCTGGCTATACAGTGTATCCTTGTTGCTTATCTATTTTGGTAGATTTTTTAATGTCTGAGGGGTATTTGGATGTGAGTGTGATAGTTGCTCAGTCATGCCTGACTCTTTGCAACCCCATGGACTGCAAAGTAGCCTGCAAGGCTCTTCTGTCTGGAATTCTCCAGGCAAGATTACTGGAGTGGGTTGCCTTTCCTTCTCCGTTGGATGTGAAGAGTAATACTTTTATTTGAACTTTTAAAAATTTTCTAGGAGAGAGGGAGGGAGAAAATTCTCCAAATTATTAATATTAACATTATTATAATATTTACATGCTATTTACTAATAAAATATATTAGACACTTTTCAAGCATTTAAATAAATTGAAAATTTACTCAAATCACCTTTTTACAAATATACGTAAGTTATACTATATAAGATACTTAAGGTCTTTTAAAAAGAATGCAGAGTGTCTCACACACTTGATTTCAAGATTGATCATTGTACTTAAGAACCTATTATTGATGTTAATATCGTGAATTTAAATGTCATTTAAAAAATATCTGTGTCTGTTCTTACTGTATTTTATGTTCTTTTCTTCCCCATTGTTAAATTTTTATTTATTGTTAGGTTTTATTCTTTTTTTAATCTGGAGAGAGTTCCCTTTTCAGTTACATGGGGTAAATACATATTTAGAATCAGGGATACAAAACTTAGGAATGTCTTTCAGAGTATTTCTACTAGAATCAGTTTCCTAGATGGATAGACTCCTTTTCATAGTTAGACCTTGTCCATTATACAAGGAACTACCTAAGTTATTGACTCTTCCAGTCAGATATGTTTGATTTTGTTGTGACCCTGGTCATTGTTAAGGTGACAGTTAAATAAAAAACCTCAAAAGTTCAGTTAAATAAGAAACTTAAGGCCTGTTTAATTCACTGAAATTATAAGGCTTTTAATTTATTCATTAAGACCTATATATGTGTTCTGGAATTATGTAATTCCATATATAATGTAACTATCTATGCTTATTTGCATCCTTTTTAGTCTAATTTTGTTAGAAACAAATCTGTTTTAATTTTAATCATTGTATAAAAATTCATATTAAAGCTTTTGGAGAAAAAGTCTATTGTTCTGAAAACAAAGGAAGTTATTTATAAGAGGGCATTTCTTCCCCCTATATCTTAACGTTGATCCTTTTCTGTCTCCTTGTAATTGTAGCGGGAAGAAGCAGAATGGGAAAACATAAATGTGCTGTTGATGATGCATGGCTTAAAGCCTTTATCTCTAGTCAAAAGAACAGATATGAAAGGTAATCAAATTATATTCTTGCTCCTTAAGATAAAAAGCTTCTTTTTTTGTTAAAATTTTTCAATCTTAATTTTTTCTTATCTTCATTTTTACTATGTGTATTACATTTCAAAAATGTAGATCTCATCATTTTTGACAAACAGTCATCACAAACGATGAGGGAGAATTTAAAAACAATGATGGAGGAAACATCACGTCAACAGAACATGATCCAGGAGCTCATAGAAACTAATAAACAGCTTAAGTAAGAAAATGGAAAAAAAATCTGTTTTGAATTGTATGTGAACAAATGATATGCATTTTAAAAATAACTTGCTTGAAAAGAATCTTGAAATTTAATTTTCCATTGATTAAATATTAAGTAAAAAATATTTTCAGTAGGTAAATCTTTTGGTAATAGCTTCGATATATAATGATACCCTATGTTTCCTCTGTTGGTTTGTGTTATAGAAATTTTTTTTTTTTTTTTTTTTAAGACAAAGCACTTCACATTTATTATAAGTAAAAATTCTGCAGCACGCATGCTCAAAAGCATGCTCTGTGTTATAGAAATTTTAAGAATGCAAAATTTTACAAAGTCATTATGTTGTTAGATGGATATGTTGGTTGATATGATTTGTTTCTATTACTAAGAGAAGGAATTGTATGTCTGTTACTAGAAATGAACTTCAGCAACAACAAAGCCGAGCAGCAGATCAGGAACAACGAGCTAATGACTTGGAACAAATTATGGAGAGTGTGAAGTCCAAAATTGGTGAAATGGAGGATGAATCTGTAAATAGGGTTTGCCAGCAACAGAATAAAATAAAAGAACTTCAAAAGGAGCATAAAGCTTTACAGGTACTGAGTTAAACATTTTCTTACATGATAGTCTTAAAACACCTTGTCAATGTTACAGGTGACTTCCATGTTGCTTAGTTCAGTGATCGTTATCTTCCTTTACCTATTATTTTTATTGACTTGAAATTCTTTCTTTGCTATTTCCAGAATATCTTCTCTTCTGGTTTTCCTCTAACCCCACTGGTTATTTTTTGATCCCGTTGCTGATTCTTCGCATTTTCCTCAGACTCATCCCTTAGACTTTTTTTTCCCTATAAATTCTTACTTCTTGGTGATGCTCAGTCTAATTCATAGTACTTTTAAACCTGTGGCACAGGCTTCTTCCCTTAATTCCAGACTCACATCCTGCATCCTGCTTGATAGCTCTATTGGATGTCTAATTAGGCATCTAGAACTTTTTACCACGTCTAAAACCATACCTGGATTTCCTCCCCAAACTTTCGTCTTTTAATATCTGCTCTGGTCCAAGCCATTTTCATTTCTTTCCTGTTTCTTTCTTGGTTTCCCTACTCCAGGCCTTGCCTTTTTCAATGTGCTCTCAACACTGTAGCACAGAACACTCTGACTTTGCTTTTTCTTTTTCTTAAAGGGAAAAATCCAAAACTCTTAACCATGATCTTACATGGTTGTCCCCGTGTTACCTTCTGACTTCACTTACTGTACCTCTTGCATATTCTATTCCAGTCACACTGACATTCTTGATTTTCTCTGAACATTTTCCTTGAACATTCTCACCTCAGGGGCTTTGTCTATTTTGTTCTTCCTTGTTCCCTCTACCATGCGTGCTTTTTTTAGCTGCGTGGTTAGTTTTCTCTCTGCTTACTCAAGTGTCACATCACTATCTCTCAGGGATTCCTTTTTTGACGACTTCACTTACAGTTGGCATTCCTGTCCCCCAGATATCCTCTTGCCTTCCCTGCTTTGTTTTATCCATAACTCTTAGCACCATCTAACATGCTGATATACTATATACTTTGTCTTGTTTGTATATCTCTGTTAGAATGCAAGCTCCATGAGGGCTGATATTTTTGTCTGTTTTGTCTAGGGCTGAGAAAATGTCTGCTTTATTATTAGCTGTAGATGCTCAATAGATATTTGAATTATTGATTATAATTTTTTAACTTTTTTTCTTGAAATATCAATGTTATAACATTGAATATCTAATATTCATTTCCTAATTAAAAAAAACCTCTTTTTAAACTTGGGTGTTTATTGTAATTGAAAGAAAAATCTTTTGTAGGGAAAATCAATATTTAGTTGTATAAGACATTACAGATACTTAGAAACAGTATATCATTACAAATGTTTTTTGTTGGCACAGCATTATATGTACCTGTTGCATACAAGGTGTTTAGGCTGCCTAAAAGGACAGTACTCCTTAGGCAGGGTCTAGATGTCCCCTCAGTTTATGCTAGCAGCATTGGAAGGATGTGATAAGTTAAATTTCAGGGCTCAGAGAGAATCAGCGATAGATACTAAGAATTTCTGGTATGAAGCTGCAGGCAGTTGGTGTTCTGCCCTCATTTAGGCTGCCAGTTTGGGGCCAGCAGTGCTGGACCTGTTGGTGTTCATAGCTCCAGAGAAGACACTATCATTCTTTGGCCAAGTCTGTTTCTGTTATTCATCAGTCAATAAGATCTAGCATTTACATTTTTAGGTTTGCTTTGTTAGGTAGCGTTCCTCATCAATAGTATATTGTAAAGTCTCTGTGGGGAGGGGGGTTTTGGACATACTGCTATATGCATTTGATTTTGACCTTCATCTCAGGTATAGGACATGCAGAAATATGAAGTTCTTTAGCTCAGGGGTCCCCAGACTCTTGGATCCAATACCTGGTAAGAGGTGGAGCTGACATAATAATCATAAAGTGCACAGTAAATATATACACTTGTATCATCCCAACCCCCCCTTCCCCATCCGTAGAAAGATTGTCTTCCACAGAATCAGTCGCTAGTGCCAAAAAAGCTGGGGACTGTTGCTTTAACCCATCAACTTACTGATGTGAGAAGCAGCTATCAGGTGGTACTGATAGAGGGAGTTGAAGGCAGAGAGATCTGTGTGGGTTTTGTTTTTTTTTAAGGAAGATACCTGTTTTTTTCCTTAAAGAGGTTGATCTATAAATAATCACAAGCCAAGTTATTAAAATGTAAGGCTTATGAATTTACCAGGGTTTTAGGCAATTCAAAGAAAAATGCTTGAGTATTCATTGGTAAGGGGTGATTTGAATGGAGTGTCACGTATTTTCTGTCAAGAATTTCATCTGTCCTAAATGAATTATAGGCCATGTAACTTTTTACTTCAGGTCTCAGTTTTGTTATATAGCTTTTAAATGTGTACAGAGGAAGTCTCATGTTCCAGTCGGCCATGGGAAACAGAATTAGGGTGGGGGCGTGAAAACTTGGTTTTGTGGAAGGGTGTGTGTGTGTTCAGTAGTGTCTGACTCTTTGCCATCCCATGGACTGTAGCCTGGACTGTAGCAGGCTCCTCTGTCTGTGGAATTTTCTAGGCAAGAATACTGGAGCGGGTTGCCATTGCCTACTCCAGGGCATCTTCTTGACCCAGGGATCAAACCCACGTGTTTCTTGCGTCTCCTGCATTGGGGGTTGGATTCTTTACTGCTGGGCCACCTGGGAAGCCCTGGGGAAGGGTATCTATGCTAATTTGATCAATTGAAATTAGTTGTTTGCTTGTTTCTTAAGTACACGAAGGGTACTTTATATAGAATAATGACAGAAATTGGCAAAACCTCAAGGGCAGTTCCCAAGAAATTGCTGCCCCTCAGTGTTGCCTGATTTTTTGTACAAGTCTATCACCGATTGGTCATACATTCTATTCTGTACTAGTTAATTTGTGCTTTCTTGGGGAAGGTGGAAGTGCTCCTTGAATGATGTGATCCATGAATGTGATATCTCTCCATTTGTTTAGGTTTTTCCTTAACTTTTTTCAACAGTGTTTCATAATTTGGGGTACACTGATTTTCCACATGTTTCATCAGTTTTATCTCTTAAGTATTTAATATTTTTGATGGTATTGTAAATGTATATTCTGTTTCAGTTTCTCATTATTCATTGCTGGTTGATTTTTTCCCCTCTTTTTTTTATTGTGGTAAATTATTTCCGTAACATAAAATTTACCATTTTGAAGTGTAGAGTTCAGTGACTTTTAATACATTAACATTGTTGTACAACAATTCTCACCATCTATCTTCAGACTTTTTTCATCTTCCCAACTAAAACTCTATACTGGTCAAATAGTAACTGCCCATTCCTCACTCCCTGCAGCTCCTGGCAACCATCATTCTACTTTCTGTGTCTATTGATTTAACTACTCTGGGTACCTCATATAAAGTGAAGTCTTATAATATTTATCCTTTTGTGACTGGCTTATTTTATTTAGCATAATGTGTTCAAGATTCATCCATGTCGTAGCATGTGTCATAATTTTAAGTCTGGATCCTCAGCAGTGGCCACAGGACTGGAAAAGGTCATTTTTCATTCCAATCCCAAAGAAAGGCAATCCCAAAGAATGCTGAAACTACTGTACAGTTGCACTCATCTCACATGCTAGCAAAGTAATGCTCAAAATTCTCCAAGCCAGGCTTCAACAGTACATGAACCATGAACCTCCAGATGTTCAAACTGGGTTTAGAAAACACAGAGGAACCAGAGATCAAATTGCCAACATCTGCTGGCTCATCGAAAAAGCAAGAGAGTTCCAGAAAAACATCTATTTCTGCTTTATTGACTACACCAAAGCCTTTGACTGTGTGGATCACAACAAACTGTGGAAAATTCCAAAAGATGGGAATACCAGACCACCTGACCTGCCTCCTGAGAAATCTGTATGCAGAGCAAGAAGCAACAGTCAGAACTGGACATGAACAACAGACTGGTTCCAAATAGGAAAAGGAGTACATCAAGGTTGTATATTGTTACCCTGCTTATTTAACTTATGTGCAGAGTATATCATGTGAAATGCTGGACTGGATGAAGCACAAGCTGGAATCAAGATTTCCGGGAGAAATACCAATAACCTCAGATATGCAGATGACATCACCCTTATGGCAGAAGGCAAAGAGGAACTAAAGAGCCTCTTGATGAAAGTGAAAGAGGAGAGTGAAAAAGTTGGTTTAAAACTCAACATTCAGAAAACTAAGATCCATGGCATCTGGTCCCATCACTTCATGGCAAATAGGTGGGGAAACAGTGACAGACTTTATATTTTGGGGCTCCAAAATCACTGCAGATGGTGGTGACTGCAGCCAAAAGACACTTGCTCCTTGGAAGAAAAGTTATGACCAACCTGGACAGCATATTAAAAAGCAGAGACATTACTTTGCCAACAAAGGTCCAGCTAGTCAAAGTCATGTATGGATATGAGAGTTGGACTATAAAAGAAAGCTGAGTGCTGAAGAATTGATGCTTTTGAACTGTGGTGTTGGAGAAGACTCTTGAGAGTCTCTTGGAATGCAAGGAGATCCAACCAGTCCATCCTAAAGAAGTCAGTCCTGAATGTTCATTGGAAAGACTGATATTGAAGCTGAAACTCCAATACTTTGGCCACATGATGTGAAGAACTGAGTCATTGGAGAATACCCTGATGCTGGGAAAAATTGTAGGCAGGAGGAGAAGGGGATGACAGAGGATGAGATGGTTTGATGGCATCACCAACTCAATGGACATGAGTTTGAGTAAACTCCGGGAGTTGGTGATGGACAGGGAGGCCTGGCGTGCTGCAGTCCATGGAGTCGCTAAGAGTTGGACACGACTGAGCATCTGAACTGAACTGAATATTCTATTGTATTTACATTTGACTCTTGTAGAACATGGTTTGAACTGTGTATGTCCACTTATGTGCAGATTTTTTTTCAGTAGTGAGTATTTCTGAACTCCATGATCACTGTTGGTTGAATACATGGATGCAGAGGAACCTTAGATACTGAGAGCCACATATAAGTTATATGTGAATTTTTGACGGTACCGATTGTTGGCATCCTTAACCCCCACATTTTTCAAGGATCACCTGTATATACCATATTTTGTTCATTCACAGGTATTTATTCTAACACTGTTCATCACTAGACACTTGGGTTGTTACCATCTTCTGGTTTTTGTGAATAATGCTGCTGTTTATATAGACATACAAATATCTGTTCCAGTCCCTGCTTTCAGTTCATTTTGGTGTATACCCAGAAGGGGATTGTTGGATTGTATGTGGCGCTAGTCGTGAAGAACCCATCTGCCAATGCTGGAGACTTAAGGGATGTGGGTTTGATCTCTCAGTCAGGAAGATCCCCTGGAGAGAGGGCCTGGCAACCCACTCCAGTATTGCCTTGAGAATCCCCATGGACAGAGGAGCCTTAGTCTATAGGGTCACAAAGAGTCTTGACATGACTGAAGTGACTTGGCACATGCATGGTAATTTTATCTTTCATTTTTTGAGGAACTGCCATACTCTTTTCCATAGTGGCTATACCATTTACATTCCCACGAGCAATGCACAAGAATTCCAGTTTCTCCACATTCTTAGCCACACTTGTTTTCTATTTTTGTTTTGTTTTTGTTAGTAGTAGCCATCCTAATGGGTGTGAAATGGTTTCTCATTGTGGTTTTAATTTGCATTTCTCTGATGGTTAGTGATGTTAAGCATCTTTTCAGGTGCTTATTGGCCGTTTGTGTATCTCTTTTTAGAGAAATGTCTATTCAAGTCCTTTGCCCATTTTAAAATCAGACTTATGTTTTTGTTGAGTTGTAGGAGTTGTTTATTCTGAGTATTGACTCCTTATCAGAAGTATTGGATTGGCCAAAAAGTTTTTTGGTTTTGTTCAGGTTTTCCTGTAAGATGGTGCAGCAAAACCTGAATGAACTTTTTGGCCAGTCCAATGTTATTTGCAAATATTTTTTCTCATTTTGCGAGTTGGCATTTTATTCTAGTGTTTTTCAATGCACAAAAGTTTGAATTCTAATAAAGTCAAATTTATATATATATTTTTGTTGTTGCTTATGCTTTTGATGTCAAATCCAATGTCATGAAGCTTTTGCCTTATGTTTTCTTCTAAGAGTTTTATAGTTTTAGCTCTTACCTGTAGAATTTTGATCCATTTTAAATTAACTTTTGCATGTGGTATAGGTAAGCATCCAATTTCATTTTTTTATATGTATACACCTAGTTTTCCCAACATTATTTGTTGAACAGAGCTTGTTGTTTTCCCATTGAATGATCTTGGCATGCTTGTTGAAAATAATTTGACTGTGGATATGCAGTATTATTTCTGGGGTATTCATTCTAATCCATTAGTCTATATGTCTTTAATGCCAGTACCACACAATTTTGATTACTTTGGCTTTGTAGTCACCTTTGAAATCAGGAAATGTGAGAGCTTTAACAAGATTGTTTTGGCTATGTGGGATCTCCTGAGGGTCTGAACTTTAGGATGAATTCCAGCAAATTGATTCAGTACATACATACTTTTTCATTATAGGTTATTAAAAGATTTTGGATATAGTTCCCTGTGATATACAGTAGAACCTAGTTGTGTATCTATTTTATATATAGTGGTATGTATCTGCTAGTCCCAAACTCCCAATTTACTCCTCACCCCCTGCCCCTTTGGTAACCATTGGTTCGTTTTCTGTCTTTGAGCCTGTTTCCATTTTTAAAATAAGTCCATTTATATAATATTTTAGATTCCACATGTAAGTGATATCACACTATATTTGTCTTTTCTGACTTTGCTTCTTTTAGTGTGATAATTTCCGGGTCCATCTGTGTTATTGTAGATGACCTTATTTAATTCTTTTGTAAGTCTGAGTAGTATTCGAGTGTGTGTGTGTGTGTGTGTGTGTGTGTGTATCATAATCCATTCGTCTGTTGATGAGCATGTGTTGTTTCCATTTCTATTTCTGCAAAAAAAGTCACTGGGGTTTTGATAGAGATTGCATTAAATCTGTAGACCACTTTGTATAGTATTGACATCTTAACAATATTAAGTCTTCCAGTCTGTGAACACAGGATATTTTCCTAGTAATTTCTGTCTTCCGTTTCCTTCACAACTTGTATAATATTCAGTGTATAATTCTTTTGCCTTCTCGCTTTATTCCTATTTTATTCTTTTTGATGCTACTATACATGGAATTATTTTCTTAATTTTCTTTTTAAATTGTTCATTGTTAGCATATAGACATAAAGTTGATTTTTTGCGTTGACTTTGTATTCTGGTACTTTCTGAATTCATTTATTGTAATGGGTTTTTTTTGTTTTGTTTTTTTTTGGTGGACTCTTTAGGGTTTTGTGTGTTTCAGATCATGTTATCTGCAAAGAGATAATTTTACTTCTTCCTTTCCAACTTGAATGCCTTTTATTTCTTCTTCTTGCTTAATTGCTCAGGCTAGGACTTCCAGTACTATATAGAACAGAAATGGTGAATGCAATTATCTTTGCATGGTTCCTGATCTTAGAGGAAAGATTTTCAGTCTTTTAATGTTGAATATGATGTTTTCATAGATGGCTTTTGTTATGTTGAAGTAGTTTCCTTCTATTCCTAGTTTGAGTGTTTTTATCTTGAAAGGGCATTGAACTTTGTCAGATGCTTTCTCTGCACTGATTGAGATTGTCATGTGGTGTTTGTTTTTCCTTTTATTTTGTCAATGTAGTGTATTACATTTTTTTTTTCATATGTTGAACCATTCCTGCATTCCAGGAATAATCCTACTTGGTAATGGTGTATAATCCTTTTAATATGCTGCTTAGAATTTGGTTTGCTAAACTCAGTTTGTTGCATTTTTTCATCATTGTTTAAATGATGGGATATCGGTTTGTGGTTCTCTTTGCTTGTGTTGTCTGGTTTGGGTACTAGGGTAATGCTAACCTTATAGAATGTCTTAGGAGAGATACACGTGATTCTTTTATATTATGCAACATTGAAAATTTCAGCCATTCTAGTTTTAAGTCACTTGACTATAGATCTTCTGCCTGGCTCAGGGTGGGGCTGAGGCAGAGAATAAACTCTGGGTGGTTACTGAGAGATAGTATGGTACCCAGAAGCTGAGTCTCCTTTTTTCCCCGAGGGTCTCTAAGTCTGTGTAAACTTGACACTATGAGTAGGAAAACATGTGCTTGGATGCGCGCCCCTACTGAAAGTAGTGTCTTAATATTTTGCAGATAGATGGGGATAGGGCTTCTCACTGAACTTTATAAAAAGTGTATTAATAATAATGATGGTGCTGCTGATAATGACCTTTCAAAGGACCTAGAGGGATGGAAGCCATGGTCGTTCATTTGCTTAGTTGTGTCTGACTCTTTGCAACCCCATGGACTGCAGCATGCCAGGCTTCCCTGTCCTTTACCATTTTCTGGAGCTTGCTCAAACTCATGTCCTTTGAGTTTGTGATGCCATCCAACCATCTCGTCCTCTGTCGTCTCCTCCTCCTGCCTTCAGTCTTTCCCAGCATCAGAGTCTTTTAGGAAAACCAGGCCAGTGATAGTTCACTGAAGACAAGAGAGTATTCAGGATTTACATTCCCTTGCATAAATCTTGGGGGTATATATTATTTCTTAACAAATTCCTGATTATGCTGAGTTTGCAGTCTCCCATATTACATGAATGCCTAAGTTAATTAAGCCATCTGAAATCCTGAATTATCATTGATCGTTTAAGAATCTTAATTTTAATTCATGGTTCTTTTCAGCATCTTTAATATTGGCCCCTTCCTGATTATCATTTTCATCTAAACCTGTATATAAACTTAGTTTTACAAAGATTGAATTCTTTTACTTATTACATATCCTTAAATGCATGCAAGTATAAACAATATTTTCCCCATTTTGCGCTGATTTTACTTGTTACAGGTTTTGCATTTATGATGTATCATTGTTCCTGGACCTTGTACCCATTTTAAAATAGCCTCCCTACTGAAGTTCTTAAATAAGACAGCCCTTCATAGAAATTGTGAGGCTAGCTTTGTGTACAGTATTGTTAGAACAGCATGTCTTAGATGTACATATTGTAATTTATTTTTTAAAAATTTCTTACAGGCAAAATGTGAACATTATAAGAAAAAACGAATGGAGCAACAAGAGACTATTGCTGCTTTGCAGAAGGATATCTATAGGTTAACACAGGAAGAAGAAGAACGCATTATCACTCAAAATAGAGTGTTTTCTTATCTCTGCAAAAGAGTTCCTCATACCGTCTTGGATAAACAGTAATGTTTGCTACATAAATTGATATGTTGCTAGACTCTTCATTTTTTAAAAAATAGATTTCATCTTGGGTATGGTTTTATCTCTTAAACTGGTGGAATCTTCCTCTTCCTCTTCTCTGCCCTTTTTTTTGTTTGTTTTAATGTCATTAACTTGTTGAAGAAAACGATTGGTTGTCCTGGAGAGGTACATGCTAGATTTGCCTATTTGCTTCCTTATTATGTTGTTTAATTTATTCTTCTGTCTCCTGTGTTCCCTCTAAACTGGAAGTTAAATCTAAATTCAGATGCAAGTATTTTTGGTGACATACTTCATAGGTGATAATTTATTCTTCTAATAATAACATATATGTCTAGTAGAGCTTCTCTCAGGGATGCTAAGATGGTTCACGGGTTTAAATAGCAACAATCTGATCCTTCTCCTATAAAATTTCACATCCTCTTCTCATCTGATGGTTTCGCTCATTGATCTTGTTTTCAATTCTGCTATCCCTTTTTTCCCTTTTCTTTTTTTCTTGCTGGAGTTCTTCCATTAAGAAAAAGAACCTTTCCTATTGAGTAGGGACTATCTGGTTGCCCTGTATGGTTTGTTACAGGGAAGGTAAGAGCAGTGCTCAGTTCCTTCATTTTAACTCTTATTTTTTAGAGTAAGCAGTTAATGATCAGTTGTAATAGTCTAGTTGGGAAATAACACAGATCTATAAAGAAAAGAAAGAGATACTGCAGAGATGGACAGGAATTGTCTATACCAATTGACTGTAGATGTTGAAAGAAGGAGAGAAGTCAAAGATAGCCAGATTTCAAGCTAGATTTGGAGAAAGGGACAGGAGGAGGATGGATTTATCTATGAATATGTACTTAGACATCTTCTGTCAGTTACATAGAGATATCATGCCAGTTGTTGTTTAGTTGCAAAGGTATGTCTGACTCTTTGCGACTCCGCGGCCCTCCAGTTTCCTCTGTCTATGGGATTTCCTAGGCAAGAACACTGGGGTGGGTGACAATTTTCTTCTCCAGGGGATCTTCCTGACCCAGGGATCAAATCCACATCTCCTGCATTCCAGGTGGATTCTTTACTTCTGAGCCACTGGGGAAGCCCCATCAGACCTATAGTTAGAAAGGCCCAACTCCATAGAGCTTTAAAGTTTAGACAGAGAAAGAAAAGGCAGAAGAGGAGTTACGTTTGGGTGTCAGGCTAACTGAGGAACAAGAATGTTTGAAGGGGAGGGTGGTGAGAAGTTTTATATGCCACCTCATCAGTTTGTGTTTGTCTTCTTACTGTCTTATTTGCTCAATTGCTGGTTTGACACATAGTAAGTCTTCCTTATAAGTTTATTGATGGTAGAGGTAATAGTCATTCAGAATGAATGAAGTTTGTCATGCTGGAAAAATAGAAATGGGATAGTAGCATTGGGGAAGGAGGGAGGTGAGAGGGTTTGTAAAGTATATAAAGGAAATTAAAGCATATTTGCAGAATAATATGAAAGCTGTTGGCTTGGAGAAAGTTGAAGGGAAAGAATAATGCAGAGAGTTACGATGTTAAAAGCACAACTGGTTGAATTAGTTCTGAAAAAGGGGATGGGTGAATAATTTTCCCAAGACAAGAGTGAAATACTACAAATTCTTGCTTTAAAAAGAATAGTATGTGAAAGTGTAGTGTTATTTTATTTTTCTTTGAGGATTTTTTTTAAATTAGAAAAGCACTGCATGCCTACAAAAATTCAAACAATATAAAAGTATATAAAGTAATGTATTATAAACCTGCTTACTTCTCCTAATTCCATATCCTGCTAACCACTTTTTAGCAGGTTTATGTTCTTCCAAGTGTTTCACAGCAATAGTGCTGTTGACTTTTTAGGTGGGACCATTCTTCATTGTAGAGCATGATGAGCATTCATTTGTTCATTAATGAACTTTTAAGCATCCTTGCTCCCTCCCCAGCTATTCAGTGTGACAACTAGTACCATCCCCCAGTTTGGGTAATATTATCCCTAAGTTAAGAAGTCATATAGTTCATTTTCAGTACATAGACTCATACATACACCTACTTTCTTCAAAAAAATAGTTATACATTTGTCTTTGCAACACTAATTTTTTCCTACAAATTGTTTACATTATCTCTTCTAATGCCTCCTCATTTTCTATAATATGGATGTGCCATTATTTAACTTTTCCCTTGTTGAAGAATGTTTAGATTGTGTCTGAGTTTTCACTCATAATGCATTGAACAACTTTGTTCATCTTAAGTTATAGCCTTGGGCAAATGTTTCTGTGGGAGTGATTTTTAAAGGTAGACCTGTTTGATCAAGGAGAATCTATATTTAATATGTTGAGATTTAATGTCTGTGGTTATTTAAAAATGTATACATTAAAATTAAAATATATGGGATACTTCTGGCAAAAATCACTTTAATTTTTTTATGAATTTGCATATATTTATCAGTATAATTTGAAATTGAATAGAGACAATAGTAAATGTTCCAATACCACATTTTGAAAATAACTCATCTGTTTTCTAGGTTGCTTTGCCTTATTGATTACTATGAATCTAAAATTAGAAAATTTCATAAACAAAGGTATGACTTGTCCTGTATTAAATTTTTAAAAGTAATTATCAAGTTGTGAATTACAACAAAAGCTTTTATGGCCTTTTGAAACATTAAATACTTTTGAAAATCTACTGGATATGTGTATAATTTACCTAATATGTAACTATAAATTCCTTTTTATAAAGAATATTTAAGACTGTACTTTATCACTTATGTTGAAATTCATTGTTGCATTTATATTAAAATATGTATATTTAATAATCACTAAGTATTGGTCACAGATGAAATAGTATTTTTATTTTGTTGAGGTATTATGATTTGTTCTACTGATGTCATCTAGCCACTAGATAGTTACTGAGTATATCAACACAGTGTGTAGGATTGGATTAACTTCCTGCCAAAGTACAGCCTAATTAATTAGTTTGCAAATTTATGAGATAAAGATAAAACATTATAGTGCAAAATCAAGTATATAGAATAAAGCACAATTATCATCTGATTAAAGAAATAGGGTAAAATTTTAAATAATGGTATTTGACTAGCCAAAAATTGCTCAAAGATATCTAAGGCCAAATAATCTGAAGTGCTTTAATATAAATATCTAAGGCCTTTAATATAAAGGCTATTTTGTTTCACTGTTTATAAATGGAACAGTTCTTTAAACAAATATTTACCTAAGCACCTACTTTCTGTTGTGTTCTGTTTTTAGTACTGAACAGATAAAATAGATAAACATTAAGTAACTTCAGGGACGTTCTCTTTTCAAATGAAGCTGTCTTTTGAGATGGTAGACATGGTGTTAGATTCTGTAGAGATAGGAAAATGTTGTGAACATGATTCTCACCTCCTAGGAGTTTGCAATCTAGTAAAGGAGATTAAACGTAAACACATTAATAGTTAAGGAAAATAATGTGAGACTTAAAAGAGCCTAATATATAGTGTCACAATAAAAGTAATTACTTTAAACTGTACAGTCAGTCAGTAATACAGGAGTTGATAACAGGAACAAATTGGTTTTGGATGGGGTAACCAGGGAAGCCATTACAAAACAGATGGGGGTTGTGGTTGAGCTTGAATAAGGACAATTTGGGAAAGCAGAAAGAAAAAAAAAAGACTGCTTGTATGCTATGAGCAAAAGTTCATAGATGGAAAAGAGTAGGCTTTTTAATGGCACTATAATTAAGCCACTTTCTCTGAACTTTAAGGGATTTGTTGATATATTCATAGATAGAGGTAGTAACCTATGGAGAACAGTCATTCCCATGGAGGACCAAGAGTAAGCTATAAATGAACAACAAGACATCATTGACTTTGGAAAGAAGGAAGGTACTGTTTCCTTTGATACAGAAAACCTGGGTGATAGAGTTGTAAATATGTATATTAGTATTCTAGCAAGAAACAGAACCAGTAGAATGTACACTTATATACAGAGAGTGAATTGTCTTAAAGAAATAGGTTCATGTGATTGTGAAGCTGGCAAGTCTGAAATCTGTGAGGCTGGCATGCAAGCCGGAGACCCAGGGAAGAGTTGATGTTGCAGTGTTGAGGCTGAAGGCAATCTGGAGGCAGAATACCTCTCTTCTTGGAGGTTTCAGTCTTTCCTTCTAAGGTCTTTAATTGCACAGGGCTCACAGAGTTGGACATGACTGAAGCAACTCGGCATGCATGCATGCATGCACCCACATTGTGAAGGGTAATCTGCTTTATTCAAAGTCTATTGATTTAAATGTTTGTCACATTTAAAAAATAACCTCACGGCAGTGTTTAGACTGGTCTTTAACCAAATAGCAGGGCACCATAGTCTAACCAAGTTCACACTAAAATGAACAATCACAGTATGTCAGAGTAAAGAGAAGCAAAATTAAGAATTTCATAGCTTGAGAGGTTATAGATTGGTATGCTCACAGAAAATCAAAAATGAGTAAAGCAGGTTAGGTGGGAACTGTGCCAAACTGGAGAGCTGTCTTAAGAGGCCATTTATTATATACTCTAGCCAGTTGATACCATGCAGTAATGGGAGCCCAATGGCTAAATCTGCTTTTTTGAGAAGTTAGAAGGTTAGATTTATAAATGAAAGCAGATTTTTAATGTTTGCAATTAAAACTGAGTGCTCTTAAAAATATTATATGGTCCAGACTGAATATTATCTGCAACCTTTACTCTATATCTTTAATAAATTCTAATGTAGATTCAGGAGTTGTATGACTTTTTTCCTATAAAGGGCCAGACTGTATTTTAGGTATTTTAGTCTGTATAGTCTCTCACAACTGCTCAACTCTGTTACAGCATGAAATCAGCCAAAGACAGTAAGTAAATGAATTGACATGTCCATTTTCCATAAAACATTAATGAAAAAAAAAAACCTGCTGGCTGTGGCCCACAGGCAGCAGATTGCTGACCCCCAATCTAGTTGATGAAGAGAGCATTTGGGATTTGAAGTCAGAGTAGAGAAGATTTAGTGTAGCCATCTTTGAAATGTCTCAGGTAGAATGTGGTATGAGAGATTGCCTCTGAAGTTATGTAAACTGGGGTCCTCTAACTAAAAATAATAAAAGGACTGAGGCTGTTGCAGGTGTTGTTGAATTTGGTTGTCATGAGTTTATAGTGAACATCTGGGTATGAGGAATGAAATCTTGAGGGAAAAGAATTACTTTTTTGCTTAACAATCCCATCATCATTGGACTAACTAAAGTGAAGTACTTTGGCTTGTACAAATTATGCCTAGGTCAGATACTTGGATTGAATGTCTCCCAGTTCAGTTCAATTCAGTCGCTCAGTCGTGTCCGACTCTTTGCAACCCCATGAACCGCAGCACGCCAGAGCTCCCTGTCCATCACCAACTCCCAGAGTCCACCCAAACCCATGTCCATTGAGTCGGAGATGCCATCCAACCATCTCATCCTCTGTCATCCCCTTCTCCTGCCCTCAATCTTTCCCAGCATCAGGGTCTTTTCAAATGAGTCAGCTCTAAAGGGAGAAAAGATGCAGGAAGAAAATAGGGACTGTGTTATACACAATATTCTCACAGATGAAAAAGTAGAAGTCATTTATACTTTGCAGTGATGAGGAGTCTGTCCTGAGGAGAGGGTTTTTCATAGTTCATTGAATGAACAAAACTTAACAGTCTCTTTTCTAAGAGTAAATAACTTGATAGATTGTAGCAACCTCAAGGTAGATTTTGAGATGTACTAGTAGGATATTTGGAGAAGGCAATGGTAACCCACTCCAGTACTCTTGCCTGGAAAATCCCATGGGCAGAGGAGCCTGGTGGGCTGCAGTCCATGGGGTCTCGAAGAGTCAGACATGACTGAGTGACTTCACTTTCACTTTTCACTTTTATGCATTGGAGAAGGAAATGGCAACACACTCCAGTCTTCTTGCCTGGACAATCCCAGGGACGGCGGAGCCTGGTGGGCTTCCATCTAAGGGGTCACACAGAGTCGGACACAACTGAAGCGACTTAGCAGCAGCAGCAGCAGCAGGAGGATATTAGTATCACCTAAGAAGCAGGCGAACTCTAAAAAAGAGGGTGTAAGAATTAACTGACAAGTATTATATTACTTGAAAGAAGTGAAAGAGAAGAGAAAATGAAGGAAGATGGGTTATGATTTGGAGGTCTAAGTGGGATAAATAGGAGGCACGGGAGAAGGATGTATATACCTGTAGAGCTCAGGGAGCAAGACAAAGGAAGAAGACAGATGGGACATGGGCCTCTTGCAGAGGTAGAAGCACTCTGCTTAACACCCTTTTTTAAAGGGCAGTGTTGTCCAAAGTTTTTCTCATCATGAAACACAGAAAGTGATGTTTGTATACCACACTGGGGTAATTGGCTCAAGAACTCTGGCCAGTTGTCTTGAATGCTTGGCATATTTGTAATATCTTGGCACAGCACACCTATGGCACACCATCTGGACCCTCTACTTTAGGGCACAGGCTTGAGAAGGCCTCCAGAGAGCTTGTGAAAGGCAGTTTCTGGATACTATGGACTGGTTTTCCTTTCTGCCTCCATACATGAGAAAACTCGGGGAAAGCAGAGGAAGCCGCACTCAAGGCAGCAGAAATTTGAGTGCAAGTATTAAGCAGTTGGAAGTCTTAGAAAACTGCCAACATGCTACAATTTCTGAAACAGAGGAAAAGTAAGTTTTAAAATGATAGGTTCTCAGCTCTTACTTTACCTATTTTTCTTTACCCAGTGTTAATATATCAACATACATTACATGGAATATATTGCTAGCTTTTTTCAATACTAATAAGTATTTCCCTGGCTTGGTAGATAGGATTAAAGAACCAAGAAAAGTAACATAGGAATAACAACTACAAGACTCAGATTGAGTTTATTCTGAGATGTTGGAGACATTTGTAAAGTTACCCCAGGGAAAATAGCTATATAATGAATTAGTAAAGTGAAGTCTCCTTGTCTAATTCCATCCTTCTCTTTAGATAGAAAATTTTTAAGTGGTGTTGCGAAATGGAAGCAGGTAACTTTGAGGTTCACCTCTGATTGAACATGATTCAGATTAGGGAAGAAAATAAAATACAAGATTTCTCTAGTTTTGCTCTTTCTCTGTACCCCCAAGAAGCATACTGTTCAACACTGGGTCCCTCCTGGGGCTTCTGGAAGCCATTCAAGAAAGGGTGGGAGGAATTTGGCTGTGGGGATCCCATGTCCAAATGAGAATTGTGGACATTTAAAATTATGTTTTTACTTCAAGAAAACCACAAACTCTGTCAATGCTAAATAAAGGACTCTAGGAAAATAAAGTGAGAATTCTTTACTGAAGCTCATTTCCTTTTAGGTCTGCATAAATTTAAAATTGGTCTCCTCTACTATATATATGTGTTAGGTTTCTCTTGAGAGAAAAAGATAGCCATAATGGCAGGTATTTTAGAGTGTATATAGGGAATGATCTGAATACACACGCTTTGAAGCCAGAGAGATTTCAGTTTGAATCTCATTAGTACTGCTTACTATTTGAGAGACTTTGAGCAAATTTAAATAACTTCTGTAAATGTTCCTTACCTAATAAATGGAAATAGTTTATATAATACATCTATCTTGTTGTTTAGTGGCTAAGTCGTGTCCAACTCTTTGCGACCCCATGGACTGTAGCCAGCCAGGCTCCTCTGTCCATGGGGTTATCCAGGCAAGATTACTGGAGTGGGTGCCGTTTCCTTCTACATACATCTATCTTAGTACTTTTTATATAGAAGCTACCCAATATCCTTCTTTGGTCATGGTCATTTGTTAAAGACTAGCATGTTTTAGAAGGTCTGAGAGAAAGGTTAGTACAGCTGTCTCGAATAGAAATGTCATGAAAACCACATATATAATTTTGCATTTTTCATGTAGCCAAGTTAGAAAGTAAAAAGAAACCAGTGAACTACATTTTCATATATTTTATTTAATATCTGAAATATTGCCATTTCAACATGTAATCAATGATATTATTAGATACTTCACATTATTTTTTTCATTCTAAACCATTGAAATTTGGTATTTTAATTTATAGCACACCACAATTCAAACACTAAATTTTCTTTTTTTTTTTTTAAACACTAAATTTTCATCAGAGGTATTTGGTCTGTATTTAGATTTCATGAAGTCTAGTTCAAAAATAGACTTATATACCCAGATTATTCTATACATACCTCAAAGTTCTCTAGCAACTAAGTCAAGTACAAAAATTTTTTTCCTTTAATATTTAAATCTACATTTATACAACTGACTCCTCTTTTTCAGAATAATTGGTTTGACTGAATTAAGGGTTAAAAACTATACCCAACTTAAATTCACTAACTTCTATTTAAGTCAGAAGGATGTTGCGAAATTGAAAAGCAACTCTAAATCTGTCAATAGCAAGAAACTTCAAACTTTGAAGTTTTCTTGTAGTTTTACAACCAATTTATTTACACTGTGGATTAAAACTAAAATCTCCTAAATATTATTATGAGAAAAACATGTATGAAGACAATATTGATTTGTGTTATAAAGTTTCATTTCAATGTAAATTCTCATAACCTATTAGCTAGACACAAAGATGCCTTTTTTTCTTTGTAGCTTCAAATTTTGCTTACTCATATATAGAGTGATACGAGTGAGAAGGCTTCCCTGGTAGCTCAGTTGGTAAAGAGTCTGCCTGCAGTGCAGGAGACCCAGGTTTGATCCCTGGGTCAGGAAGATTCCCTGGAGAAGGAAATGGCAAACCACTCCATTATTGCCTGCAAAATCCCATGGACAGAGGAGCCTGGTGGGCTACTGTCCATGGGTCACTTGAGTCGGACACGGCTTAGTGACTACACCACCACACCATTTTTTGTGTTTGAGCATTTGACAAGTACTTTTTTTCCAAGAAAATTTTGAATTCAGGTTAACAGTATAGTTAGTCTTTGTAACTTTTCCATGACTCAACCAATAAGCATTGACAAAAAACACAATAGATGGTTAAAGTTATTGTTTTCTGTTTGTTTCAATGGTCCTACAAACTGGCATAGTATTTATACATGTCCTGTATAATTTTAACAACTGAATTCATGACATTCACAGTCTGTTTAAAAAAACTTACGGATTTCCAATATGTCTTATACAGTACAGCAAAGCAATGAGAAATGTCAGTCTTTTAAAAATCCTAGTAAATCTAAATTTCTGATGTTACAGAGCTACATTCTGTTGTGGAAAAATGAAAAAGGTTGTTTCATGTCTTGGTGAAATTCTTCTTTGATAGATATGTAAAATTCAAAGATGTGCCATAAGTCAGATTTTTTTTTAAAGCCTCCAGTTGTCAAGATTTCTTAATAAATCTGGAGGTCCTCTGACAACAGAACATCCCCACAATGTTAATTGAGCATTTGATTCATCTAAAAATAAATGTAATTTTTAAATTAAATCAGTTGCTCTTTGGTATTATAAGAAAGGTCTTGAATTCTCCAGGCAGTTGTTTGTGGGTTTAATTGAAGATCTTTCCTTTTTTTTATAAAAATGTTTTAGTTATTTTCTCATAATTTTGCAGCAAAATTTTCTTAGAAAATAATTTATTTCATGTAAGAATAGTTTCTATTTTTGTGTAAGACCTCAAAATGTTTTGTTGCTGGCCAAAGTTATAAGCTCAGATTTTGCTAAAAACTTAGGAGTTTTTTGTGTGTGGTTAATTTTGATTTTGGTGACTTTGATTCTCTTGACTGTTGAGAGGAAATTTCTTAATGTATAGATACATTATGTATTTGCTGAAAATACTATCCTATCGTTATCTACTTTATTCTCCTAAAACATTTTTTATTTAACAACTTTTTAAAATAACAACTTTATTGAGAATAACTCACATGCCATAAAATTCACCATTTTAAAGTATATGATTGAGTAGTTTTAGAATATTCACAAATTGTGTCACCATCTCTGCTATCAGTTTTAGAACATGGGCATCATCCACTGAGAAACAGAAAATGCCATACCCATTAGCAGTCACTCTCTGCCCTGAGCCCCTCTTTTGCTGCAACCCAACATCACAAAATATGCAATTCCATTTACATGAAATGTCCAGAATATGCAATTCATAAAAAAAAGAAAATAGATGCGTAGTTGCCTAGGAATTGGATTGTAGTGGAGTAGGGACTCAGGGTAGAGAGTAAATGGAAAGTAATTGCTAATGGGATGGTGTTTCTCCATGGGTGATGAACATGTTCTAAAATTGATTGTGGAGGGACTTCCATGGTGCTCCAGTGGTTAAGACTCCCTGCTTCCAATATAGGGTGCATGGATTTGGTCCCTGGTTGGGGAACTAAAATCCCACGTGCTGCATGGCATGGCCAGAATATAAATAAAATTGATTGTGGAGATAGTGATACAACTTTATGAATATCCTAAAGTGATATCTCAAAGGACTAATGATTAGTGTCTTATATATGTTTACTGTCCATTTGCATATCTTGTTTTGGGGAAATGCCTACTGATGTCCTTTGCCCATTTTTAAATTGAGTTATTTGTCTTTTTGTCAAATTATGAGTTATTTGTTAATTCTGGATACAAGTTCTTTATCAGGTTTGCAAGTATTTTACCCCGTTGTTTAAATTTTCTTTTTTTTTTCCCCCTGGATGATGTCCTTTGAAGCTCAGAAGTGTTTAACTTTTCTTAAAGTCCTGTTTATCTGTTTTTTATTTTTCTTTCATCTCTTCTGAACCAACAGCTTTTCCAGTTTGTTCTGCAGTAAATTATGTAGCGTTCATCAGGAAATTTATGACACATTCCTTCAGTCTCTTTTGTTTACTGTTTCAGTTATTTTACTGTCTCAGATGTTATCATCTCCACTTGATTTTTTAAAGAATCTGTCCATAATTTTTAAACTAAAAGCCTTAGTTCTTATAATTAAAATAATAAATATATCAATTATCAATTATGATTTATATAGGTATCTCCATAAATACAGTATCAGAATAAACAGTGTTATATTGGTATCATTCTGATTGAATCAATCCATTGATCCTGACTAGACTGGTGGTGAGTTTGTATTAATATACAGTACTACAAACCTCACACGCACACAGTGTACAACCCAGGCTGCAACATTAATACCTTAACATGATGCATCAAAGTGGAAGGTAGTCCTGAACAATAAAGTTGTGTTTAACAAAAGAATATTTTACACTGCTTCACCTTTAAAATTTTAATTAAAATGAAATAAAAGTCTAGTTCTTCAGTTGTACTAGCCATATTTCAAGCGCTCATTGCCTGTATGTACCTAGTGTTTACTGTCTCAGACGGCCCAGTATTAGTGTTATCAGTTTTAAAAAACATTAATACTGATTTGATAGTACTTTGTAGCTCACACATGTTTTGATGTCTTTTATTTACTTTTAAAACCAATTTTGTGAGGTAGATGTGATAGAAGTTATCTCTGTTCTACAGATGAGAAGAAAAATTCTGAGAGACTGACTTACCCAAATAATACAACTCGTTAATGAAGGTGTGAAGACTTAATCAGGGCCACTAAATTTGTGGCCTTGTCCACTTACACTCAGTATTTTTTGATATAGTTTTTTGTGATCTGAAAGTACTGAAAGGAGAAAACAATATTCTTTGTTCATTCAACAAGTGTTTTTCTACTCCTTCTTAAGCCCCCTATTCTGGGCAGTGAGATACAGTGGTGAGAGCAAGACAGACAAACTTCTGGTTTGCATGGATCTTAAATTCCAGTTAAGGCATTAGTGAACAAATGTGTACTGTAGTACTAGTTAGGAAGTAGTATGTTCTATTACAATTTTCTGTAAGAATAAGTAGGAAATTTGGTTTAAGTTTTAGTTTATGTTGAGGTTACCAAGCCCTTATTGTATTGATTTAATTTTTGTTAGCTAGTTTTTTTTTTCCTTTGGAGATAATTTTTTCATAAATACACTACATTTATTTTTTCACAGACAATATAAAGAAGATGAAAGTCAGTCAGAAGAAGAAGATTATAGAAGCCTGAGTGCTTCACCCACTTACAACGGCCTTCTAATGGTATGGGGGACTATCTGATTGATAAATACTTTTTAATAAAGTAAAATAATAATTAATCTCTTAGGAAAGTTAACTGTTTATTAACTATGTTGCAGTCATTACAGAATCAACTCAAGGAATCAAAATCTAAGATAGATGTACTTTTAAGTGAAAAGCTGAATCTTCAAAAAGATTTGGAAGCCAGGTGAGAGAGACTTGTCATTTTTATTTAACGTTTATTTAAGCAAATAGTGGGATTTTGAATGTTAAATCAGTCATCCTATCCCCTTAACTCTAAAACTAATGTTGGGGACCTCATATTTGTATACTCATTTTCATCATTAGTCTCTCATATGATAGAAAGAACAAAAATAAATATGTAAGCAAGGGGAATGAGAAAGTAGAAAGAAGATAAAACTGGCTAGGAACTCAGAATAGATTTAGCCTATACCAGTAGGTTTCCCTTTCACAAACTGTTTTTAATTTTTTTCCAAATTACTTTAGAATCTCTTATTTCATCATATACATGTGTTGTGGGAGAGGAGAAAAATTTTAAAGTTTAAATGGCATACAACAGAAAGGTTTATTTATATACAAGCATACTACCACAGAAGGAAGGCACTCTACATGTTGACAGAAAGTAATAATGAATGTACACTGTTGAGACTTTTTTCATTCATTAAATATTGTTGGATACCTATTGTAAGTTAGACATGGTCCTAAGTTCTGATATCATATATAACAAAAAAAAACAAATATCTTGTTCTTGTAAAGCTTATACTTTAATGGAGAGGAAACTGATACCTACAATAAAAACCATTTCTGTAAGGCTTAAAAGCCTGCCACATAGTAATGTGTAAATTTATGGTTATATAAATATGAGGGGAAAATTTGTAAAACATGCATGGGAATAATGAACAATAAATTTGGGCTAGTCGTTACCTGTGGTATGGGAAGTGAAAGTGAAAGTTGCTCAGTCGTGTCTGACTCTTTGTGACCTCATGGACTATACAGTCCATGGAATTCTCCAGACCAGAATACTGGAGTGGGTAGCCGTTCCGTTCTTTAGGGGATCTTTCCAAACTAGGGATCAAACCCAAGTCTCCCTCATTACAGCCAGATTCTTTACCATCTAAGCCACAAGGGAAGCCCTAGAAAACTGGAATGGGTAGCCTATCCCTTCTTCAGCGGATCTTCCCAACGCAGGAGTCAAACTGGGGTCTCCTGCATTGCAGATGGATTGTTTACCAGCTGAACCACCAGGGAAGCCCGTGGTATGGGAAGGAGAGAGCAGTGGCTATAATTAGGGACACGGAGTTTGAAGTAGCTGTATAAGGTTTTAGTTAAAAGATTTTAAACAGGTTACTACTCAGCTTTGATAAAGCTTGAGGCATGGACACACCACTATTTGTTTTACTCTATTCTTGTTTGTGCATTTGAGATAATTCACTATTAAAGCAAGTAACAGGTTAATAACAATAAAAGTGGGGAGAAAGTTTTGAATAGGGGATGCACAGAAGAAATCCAGTGGCCAATAAATACCTCATTAGCAGTTATGAAGTATTTTAAGAATTTTTAAGCATATTTATGACAAGTAATAGAGTACACTTTATTATTATTAAATATCTTTATAGTTTTGTTAAGTAAATTGAATGTGTTCAACGTGATTTATTTTCTACAGGCCTACACAGCATGAATTAAGACTTTATAAACAACAAGTGAAGAAACTGGAGAAAGCCCTTAAGAAAAACATCAAGTAATTATATTTTACCATAGTTACAAATTTATTGGGATTTTATATCTTATTATTTATTTTTATTAACCTGTCAACTTACCTCATAGTGGCTGTGGCTTAAAATTACCAGGTTGATGGGCAACCTGGCAGGGGAGGGGGGCAGGGCGTGTGGAGAAGACTTCTAAAAAGGGATATTTCTGGTTCCACAGTTTAAAAAGTTTCTACTGTAATGGATTTGGCTATACATTCATTTGAAATAAGAACAAGGAAAAGGTAATTGTCTTATATAAAAGGCAAAGATTTTAATTAGCTGACTTTGGAAGTCATGGAGAAATTGTAAGAGAATCATTGAAATTAGAGGTGACAAGGCCCAAATTTTTGTTGGTGGTAGTGATGACCTGAATAATACATAGCCTTATCATATTTTAAAACTTAAAGTATCAGAATGAATGCAGTGAACCATTCATATCCACCACTTCTCTTTTATGACTTTGAAAAGCACATACAGGAATTTCAGCAAGTTGGTCCTCAAATAGTGTTTTCTGAAGATGCTATGTCTACTCTTTGATTCAAGGGAATGGGACTTGAAGTAGTGTGGTGAGCATGGGGATGAAATATTTTAAAAATGATATGAGTTAATATATGCATTAGATGTATTAAATCAGTTATATTAGCCTATGTTGATTCAATTTTCAGTGACAGCTGCATTTCCTTTTTCTTTATGGTAACACATGCCACAGTGAAAGGCAAGTATTCTGGCCATCCAGGAATTACATATTGAGTTAAGATAGTAGGGAAGGAAAACTAAAAAATAAAAGAGAAATGGAAGCTTCAGAAAGGTTGCATTCATTCATTCAATTAATATTTTTTCCCTTCCTACTATTGCTTAACATTTTAGGTACTTATAGTACCTCTTCCTTGGAGAAGGCAATGGCACCCCACTCCAGCACTCTTGCCTGGAAAATCCCATGGACGGAGGAGCCTGGTAGGCTATGGTCCATGGGGTCGCTAGGAGTCGGACACGACTGAGCGACTTCCTTTCAGTTTTCACTTTCATGCATTGGAGAAGGAAATGGCAACCCACTCCAATGTTCTTACTTGGAGAATCCCAGGGACGGGGGAGCCTGGTGGGCTGCCATCTAACAGGTCGTACAGAGTCGGACACAACTGAAGTGAGTTAGCAGCAGCAGCGGCAGCACCTCTTCCTAACTGTTTGGCATTCTAGATACTGAAATTACAGTGATAAACCAAAAAGAAAGGTTCCTGTTCTCATGAAGCTTATGTAAAGGGCAATGAAAAAAAATAAGACAATTTTGATATAGTATAGGTGAAAATGTGTTAGTCGCTCAGTTGTGGCCAACTCTTTGCGACCCCATGGACTGTAGCCCACCAGGCTCCTTTGTCTATGGGGGTTTTCCAGGCAAGAATGCTGGAGTGGGTAGCCATTCCCTTCTCCAGGGGATCTTCCTGACCCAGGAATTGAACCTAGGTCTCCTGTATTGAAGGCAGATTCTTTACCATCTGAGCCAACAGGAGAGCCCATATAGTGTAAGTACCAAAGGTAAAATAGTGTGAGAGTTGCTATTGTACGAGTTTGGACAAGAGGTGGTGGTGACATGGTCAAAGGTGGCAGGAGTGGAGGTGGTAAGAAGTGTTTGGAATATTGGAGGTAGAACTTGGTGATCAGACTTGGTGATAGATTGATGATGGATTAGAGGCATAGGCAGTTGAGGGGGAAAAGATTAAGACTCAAAAAGATAAACTTAATCAGGACTGATTTTTAGTCCTGAATAACGAAGTAGTTGTTGGAACATTAACTGAGATAGGAAAATTGGTTAAGGAGCAGCTGAGAAGAGGAATATATAAGGTGGACAAAAAGCCAGAGGAGAAAGTGTAGAGGAGGAAAACTTCACAACCTTCTTAGGGTCTCTGGCTGGGCCTGAAAATTAAACTGACACAGATTAACATGAAAAAGGTATAAATTTATTTAATGTAAGTTTTACCTGACCTGAGAAGAAATGAAGACTTGAAGAAACAGTTAAGCCTGAGCATTTTAATACTAGGTTTGATGAAGAGTGAGTGGAAAGTTGGAAAATGTAATAGTACAAAGGGTATAAGCTGAGGGTATAAACTGGGGAAAGTTTGGATTTCCCTTCTTCAGAGACAAAGATGCTTATTTGTCTTGGGGTACAAGGAGGGCAGCTTGTTACCCTCCTTGAGGGTACCCTCACATGAGGATCTCCTGGTCTGCTTCAGGGAAAAGGGGGGAGGTCAGAGAGTTCTTCCTGTACGTATCAATTCTCAAATTCCTTCTGTTTAAAACATTTCTTATGTCAAAATGACACGTTTTGTTTTTGTTTTGGCCACACCATGTTGCTTGTGGGGTCTCAGTTCCCTGACCAGGGATTGAACCTGGGGCAAGGCAGTGAAAGCCTGGAATCCACTAGGCCACCAGGAGCTCCCTTAAAATGGCATATTTTGGAGTGGCATGTCTTGATCCCCTTCAATGGACTTTTATTGACTTCAGTGTAAGTGTATCAGTGAACATACATACACACATAAATGCTTACACATATATTCATAGAGATACTTACTCATTCCTCATTATTTGCAGATTGCATATTTGTGAATTTGCCTACCTGCTATAATTTCTTTTTAATTCTCAAATAAGTAGTGGTGACACTTGCACAGTTATTCATGGACATGCCCAGAATACACATTTTCAGTTATTCAACAAGGTGATACTCTCCCCGCATTTCCGCTTTCATGATGTAAACAGTCATTGTTTCTGTTGTCATATGCCACTTGTAGTTTTCCATTCTTTGCTTTTTATTGGTGATTTCTCCAAGATGGTCCCAAGCATGGTGTTGAAGTACAATCTAGTGTTCTATTCATAAGAAGGCTGTGATGTACCTTACAGAGAATATATATGTGTTAGAGAAACTTCATTTAGACATGTTATAGTGCTGTTAGCTATGAGTCCAATGTTAATGAAACAACAATATTAAAAAAGATGTCTTTAAACATTAACACACATAAAACAAGGTTATATATTCATCAGTTGAGGAAAATGTGACCAGAGAGGCATGCAAGAGCCTAATCCTGTATTTCCCCTAGGAGCAGTGGTTCAGTCCTCACTAATTCAGTGTATACAGTAACTTTATTGCATATAACTGCCATGAATAATGAGAATTTACTGTATATATATTTTTTGTTGTTGATTTGTGCTGTGATTTTTAGAGTGATTTTTCATTATTAGACTTTAAAATTGTGATTTAGAACCAATCCTAGCTATATTTTTCGTTGAATTTTGAAGAAGTGATTTGTGTTTTTAGAAATTTACATTTAGAATTTAAACTTCTATAGTATCTAGATGTGAAACAGAATTAAGAATGTTAGATAACTTGCCCATACTGCACAGGTGGCATGTGGAAGAACTTGGAAAGAAATCAGACCGACACCTAAGCATTTGAACTCTCAAGCTCACACTAATAATAATTAAAACCAAACAAAAACCCAATGAAAAAAAAACTTTTTTAATGTAAAACTTCAAATTTTTATTTTTTGCAGGGGCAGAGGTAGAATTTTTTTCAAAGAGCTACTGATGTTAAGGAAATAATTAGAAATAAAAATCTGTCAACCCAGTGAATATTCTCTACATGTGTAGGGAAAAAAAGAAACAGTTTTATATAACAGTTGGAATAAATATTGAGCCAGACTGCGATGTGCATTAAACACAGTATGCTATAGAGATTGCAAAGACAGAAGGAAATCTCACCCTTTAATTATATCTTGTGACAAGGGGAAGTTAGAACTTAGAACCAGGATCCTAGGCTAAGCTTCAGTAGGGAAAAGGAGACAAGGCACCCTCTTCCTTGATGTCCTTATTTCAAAGAGATGGTTCTGAGGCTCCCAAGACACTGCTAATTTTAAGCAGGAGGCTTATTTAAATTTTATCAGAATCTACAAACTTAGAAAGGATTTACAACTACAGGTTTTCTAAAGGAAATGCTACAAGAAAAGGAGGGGAAAGTCTCTTTCCGTTTTATAACCAGAGAAAATTAAATTTTCTTTAGATCTGTATTTACTTTTCAACTAATCAATCTTCAATATCAAATGATATTAATTTAACATGTGAAAGCTTGTTTTAGCTAATATTATAAGCAAGTTGGTTATGAAGTTCTGTTGCTAGAAAGTAATCAAATGGATCTGCCATTGCAAGATAGCCAAAGGTACTACACTAATTCTATTTAATTTTTTCAGTGGTATTTATATTTTGTTAGAAGGAAATAAAAATCAAAATCTTACCACCCACGTGTTGAGCTGGCAGAAGTTGAGGTGGTCAGTTAGAATAAGCCAAGTAAATTAATCATCAAGGCTTTATTCACTTACTTCAATAATACAAACAAAAGGCCAAAGAGAAAAGGGCTGGTTTCTCGGTATCCCATTTTTCCCCATGAAATGGCACCCAGCAAGTGTCAGTCAGTGATATGGTGCGCAGATGACTCCTGTGGCTTCATGGGCTAGGGAAAGGGCATGATATGGAAACATATCTGAGTCAAAGTGAAAAAAGTGTTTCAGTTAGGGCTCCCCATCCATCTCCCAAATAGAATTCCAGAATGGGAGTCACCATGAGATTATGAAAAGGCTTCAGCAGACACAGTTAAAAGCTATAAAGTGTCTGCACATGGAAACTTAGGGGGATGGCTATCGAAAACAGGAGACAGCAGTGTTTTTAAGTTGGAAGGACAGTTTTCTGGATTTCCCAGACTCCACAGAGAAACATAACTATTGCTGCTGGCTATGTGGAATGAGTATCTGCTAAGTATGTGAAGAATTCCTTAGCCATTTTAGGGGATTTTTATGGCCTTCAGGTTCTGCTCACCACTTTGGAGACTACAAAACAATCCTGGAATATTTCTAAGTGCATCATAGTCTGCTCAAACACAGGTTCCTAAAACACCAACTAAGTCAAATGTAATTGGAAAGTAAGAGAATGATTAGATTAACATAGTAGTTGCATTGTTTTCATGTGATTTTCCCCCCCATGGTAAAAGGAGAATAGTATAGACTTTGGAAAGGGGAAAGCTTTACTAGTATGTAGGCACCTGCCCTTTCAGCTCTGTTTTAAGACAATTTAAAATGAGAACCTGTACCCAAGGCTCCCTCCCTGAACCCCAGCATTAGACAGACTGGAGGCTAAAGGCAAGTTGTGCTTCTTTCCCCACCTGTTTTAACCTTGGCTTCTTTGGCCAGGAGCTCAACTTCCATCTTCGTAGTCTTGGCATCCTCAAGCCAACATTTCTGCTCTGTTGGCTATGGATTTTGTAATATTGGAGACAACCTCAAGACATACTTGAGCTGTTTAACTTTTCTCGAGGCACCAATTATTATTTTTTGTTGTTTAGTTACATAGTTGCATCAGTTTTTAAATACTCTGATTTCTAACACTTTTCTCCTGACCACTATTGTTTTCACATGTGTGATTTTGCCGAATACAAAGGTTTTCAGAAGTATTACGCTATGGCAAATATTTACTATGAGACTAGCTGAACCAAGGGTCAGTTTCCCATAAGTTCCTAGATTTTACTAATCCTTAACTTCTGTAAATATAGAAAAACAGTGGGATTAAATACATTAATACATGTGAAGTGCTTCGAAGAGTACCTTCAGAGAGAAGGTTCTCAATAAATACTAATTATTATCACCACCAGGCTCCCAGATATATTGTCATTGTTATTAAATTAAGAGTATCTCTTAATTTACCTAGTTAATTGAATCACATTTCATTTCCCAGAGTGACTGTAGCTAGTACATTCAATAACATGTTTAGGTTACTGTCCTGGCAACTAAAATGTTGTATATCCATAGTATAATGTTAATCACACTTATAAACAGTTTGTTGAGAAGTTAAACTTTTTCACCTGAATGCAAGGTTAATATGTAAATTCAGATATGTCTGTTTACTTGTAGTCCTCTTAGAGCGCTGTTGGCTTTTCTGTGTTACTTTTATTTTCTAGACAGTATGCTTTTGGCACTGCTTTTAGGCAAAACTGTCAAGTATATTAATATGGTAAATAGATGAGAAGTCAAATGGAAACTATACAAAAAAAGATCTTAATGATCTGGATAACCACGGTGGTGTGACTACTCACCTACAGCCAAACATCTTGGAGTGTGAAGTCAAGTGGGCCTTAGGAAGCATTACTATGAACAAAGGAAGTGGAGGGGATGGAATTCCAGCTGAGTTATTTCAAATCTTAAAAGATAATGCTGTTAAAGTGCTGCACTCAGTGTGCCATCAAATTTGGAAACTCAGCAGTGACCACAGGACTAGAAAAGGTCGGTTTTCATTCTAATCCTAAAGAAGGGCAATGCCAAGGAATGTTCAAACTACCACACAACTGTGCTCATTTCACATGCTAGCAAGGTAATACTCAAAATCCTTCAAACTGGGCTTCAACAGTATATGAACTGAGAACTGCCATATGTACAAGCTGGATTTAGATAAGACAGAGGAACTAGAGGTCAAATTGCCAACATCCGTTGGATCATTGAAAAAGCAGGAGAGTTCCAGAAAAACATCTACTTCTGCTTTATTGACTACACCAAAGCCTTTGTGCGGATCACAACAAACTGTGGAAAATTCTTAAAGAGAGAGAAATAAACCTTACCTGCCTCCAGAGAAACCTATAGGCAGGTCAAGAAACAACAGTTAGAACCGGACATGGAACAGAGTGGTTCCAAATTGGGAAAGGAATATGTCAGGGCTGTATATTGTCACTCTGTTTATATAACTTATATGCAGAGTACATCATGTGAAATGCTGGACTGGATGAAGCTAAAGCTGGAATCAGGATTGCTGGGAGAAATATCAATAACCTCAGGTATGCAGATGGACACTACCTTAATGGCAAAAAGTGAAGAGGAACTTAAGAGCCTCTTGATGAAGGTGACAGAGGAGAGTGAAAAAGCTGGCTTAAAACCCAGCATTAAAAACATGAAGATCATGGCATCCAGTCCCATCACTTCATGGCAAATAGATGGGGGAGAAATGGAAACAGTGACAGATTTTATTTTCTTGGGCTCCAAAATCACTGCCAACAGTGACTTCAACCATGAAATTAAGACACTTGCTCCTTGGAAGAAAAGCTATGACAATCCTAGACAGTGTATTAAAAAGCAGAGACATCACTTTGCTGTCAAAGGTCTATCTAGTCTAAAGCTACGCTTTTTTCAGTAGTCATGTATGGATGTGAGAGTTGGACCCTAAAGAAGGCTAAACGCCAAAAAATTGCTGCTTTTGAACTGTGGTGCTGGAGGAGACTCTTGAGAGTCCCTTGGACTGCAAGGAGATCAAACCAGTCAATCTTAAAGGAAATCAGTCCTGAATATTTATTGGAAGGACTGATGCTGAAGCTGAAGCTCCAATACTTTGGCCACCTGACATGAAGAGCCAACTCATTAGAAAAGACCCTGATGCTGGGAAAGATTGAAGGCAGGAGGAGAAGGGGACGGCAGAAGATGAGATGGTAGGATGGCATCACTGGTTCAGTGGACACAAGTATGAGCAAACTCCAGGAGCTTGTGAAGGACAGGGAAGTGTGGCATGCTGCAGTTCATGGGGTCACAAAGAATCAGACACAGCTGAGCAACTGAACAACAAGTGAAAAATAGATTGGGAGGTCTTTGTGTCTACTAGAGGAAAGAGGTTGACTTTTTATCTAGAGTTAATTCTGTTTATTTTGTTTTGGACATATGTCCTCCAGAGAGCACAGAAAAATAGTTGAGTGAATATCAAGGGGAATACATGTGAGTGGAGGAGATAATTATAGTATGGTAATAAGAGATGACGTTAAGAAAGGAGTCAGGAGGAATATTGGATTAGGACTGACAACACGAAGTTCAAATGCTAACACATGGAGATTAGATTTAGCTCACAAAGCAAAAAACAATGGGAAAGCTATTGTTTTTTAGTAGGAAAATATTTTATGAACAGCAAGTCAGGCTTATTAATGATTGAGTCATGGAATCAGTTTAATGGGTCACAGTTCCACAGGAAACTGATAGGCATACTCAGATTTAAAATGTTTAATTTGAAGTAGGTTTAATAAGAGACTTTTTTCTAAGGCAGGTGGTGGGGGAGAAATGTCTACTACACTTGACTTTTAGAGCTATTTGGATATCTCTAAGTGGATACACTCATATGTTTTTAGCTTTTTGGACAGAGACTCTCCCCTAGAGTTCTGGTAGCCACCTGGGACAGTGGTCTCTTGAGTTTTCATGCCCTCTTGATTAGCAGGTTTCACTGTTGTCTTCTCTTTGGCACCAGTGGAATATGAAGAAGGAAGGACCAAGCTCTCTAGTTCTTGCTGTTGCAGTGCCCAAACTGTTTGCCCTACCCACTGTTTATTGATGCCCTTACAACATCAAACTTGGAGCACCTTGGAAGTTGTTTTCATTCTTTATTGTGGTTCTTTCCTATTCTGTTCTTTGTAAGTGTTGGGGAATGGTTATAACTTTTCATCATCAGTCTAATTCCTTCTGTTTTCAGGGATTCCTTCTATATTGTGTCTACTGAGAGGGTCTTCTCGTTTTCTAGTGACAATGTGGCTTAAATTAAAAATGTATATATGATTATATGCATGTGTATGCATGCACATACACATATGTAAAATGACGGAGTTAACGGGAGGGTAGCTGGATCATTGGCTCATTTTGTCATCTTAATCCACTGTTTAGTAAAGCATATGTATTATCTTAATTTTTTCCCCCTTAGATTACAGAATATTATCAATCAAAAAAAGGCTGAGGACAAAGAGGGAAAAGAAGAGCCCAGCAAAGATAGCCAGCAACAGGCTCTGGTCGACCAGAGATACTTCCAGGTATTGCTGACAAAAAGACTGGTATTTACAGTGAGCCTTGGTTAAGAATCACAGTATAATAAATTATCAGTAAGGAATACTTGTATCCTTTATTTGCGTGTGCTTAGTGTGTCTTGTCTTGCCATGACATACCTAATTGCTAGAAGTTGGTACCTTGACTTAGAATTGTCCCTTGAAAAGAGACTTTGGCCTAGTTCAAAGTAGGGCAGTAAAAACCTGACAAGATTTTAATAGATACCATAAACCTTTTCTTTACTCTCCCTGCTAAGCCATTTCTCTTGTTTCCTTTTCTATCTTTTTGGTTTTGCTATTGTTGATACTATTATTATATAAGTAAATCTACTTCTTAAGGTCTTTGTTATACTTTTGAAAAATTTGTATGTTTTGTCCACCTGAAACTTAGTTTTCTTTGTGGTATGATATAGTGATCTAACCTTACTTGATGTATAGACCATCTGTTACTGAGCAAATGAGCGGTTAAGTCTGGTAGTTTACTGACTGAGCTGGGCCTGCATTTGTATTTTATTGGGCCCTTACAGGTTTTTTTAAACTTTGAATTAATTACTAATTTTTTTAATTAAGAGATTTTATTTAAGTCCTTATTTCTAATTTCTCTTAAAAAGTCAAAGGATCTGGCCACAAATTCCTGCACAGTGGTTCCCAGTGCAGGATTAGGCCTGGTCCCTGTCATGCGTGGCCGTGTGCTCCTCAGCCCAGTACCGTGTCATCCTTGCTTCACTTGTCTGTGCTCTTTCTTGGCTTCTGTAGGCATTTGAGTTTGTAGTTTCTTGTAGACTATTCTTTCTCTGCTTTATTGAAATTGAGATGTTTATCCTCTGCCATATTCTCTTAGATGCATAGATTTATTTCTAGACTCTGTAGTGTCTCATTTCTATACAAATTTCTGTAGTTTTATAGTCAGCTCTGATACCTTCTGGGGTATTCTTTTAAATTTTTTTCTTGTATATATTTTTAGCACATTTGTTCTGTATGAACAATGTCAACTCAAAAACAGATCCCACTGAGACAGCTGAGATTGAATTAACTTTTTAGATTACTATTTGGAAAAATACCACATTTATAGTTTTGAATCATCTCACTCAGAAATATGTCTCTAATTTTATTTGGGTCTTCCTTTGTACCTTTTAATAAAGCTTTATATCTTTTTAAGTTTAGCTCTTGCATATATTTTGTTCTGTTTCCTAGGTTATCTAGTTATCTTATAACTTTTATTGCTATTATTAATTGGGGCCCTTTTTCCATTATATTTTTTAATTGATTGTTGCTGGTTCTTTGTACATCTCTGTGTTGATATTATGTCCAGGCACCTTTGTGAAAACTGTGGGGTTTTTTTGTAGTATAATTGTTTCACAATGTTGCATTGGTTTCTGCTGTACAATGAAAGGAATCAGCTCTATATATACATGCATCCCTTCCCTCTTGGACCTCCCTCCTACCACCCCCCACCGCCACCCCAACCATCTAGGTAATCACAGAACACCAAACTGAGAAAATATGGCAAAATGTTAACAGTTATTGAATCTCAGTTTATATGGGTATTTGTGACTGGGCCACAGGGTGTCCACATATTTGGTCAAACATTATTCTGGATTCGTCTGAGAATACTTAAGAATGAGAGGAGAAAATCTTTTTTCTCTATACCTGTTAATAAGGACCACCACAAGTGGTTTGCTTAAACTGGCAAAGCTAGTAGTATACCTTCACTGTCATACCTCACGGGTATATCAGCTCTCCATGTTATATACCTCAGGGTATATATATATATCAGCCCCTATGTTATAATTTAGTTCACAGGGATCTTGATCACTTTTCCCTTCTATAAGATATTACACTGGCCCATTACATTGATGATAGTATGCTGATTAGACCTACTGAGCAAGAAGTAGCAGATTATTGGTATTTGCATGTTAAAGGATGGGAAATAAATCTTAACAAAAATGCAGGGACCTTCTACCGTAGTGAAACTTCTAGGGCTCAAGTGGTGTGGGCATGTCAAAATATCTTGTGTAAGGTAAAGGATAAGTTGTTCCTTGGGACCCTCTAACAACCAAAAATGTGGCATAGCACCCAGTGGGTCTCTTTGCATTTTGGAGGTAGCATATTCCTCCTGTGATGTGTTCCTCCCGCCGCATTTACTGAGTGATCTGGAAAGGTGCTAGTTTTGAGTATGGCTCAGAACAAGAGAAGGCTCTGCATCGGTCCAGGCTGCTGTGCAGGCTACTCTGCCATTTGGGCCATAGGACCCTGGAGGTCCATGGTGCCTTAGACTGTCCTGGCAGACAGGGATGCTGCTTGGAGCCCTTGGTGGCCTCTGTAGGTGAGTCGCAAGTCAGATCCTTAGAGTTTTGAAGAAAAATCCTGTCATTCTTTGCAAATAACTACTTTCCTCTTAAGAAATAGCTCTTGGCCTTTTAGTGGGTCTGAGTAGAGACAGAAGACTTAACAGTGGGCTACCAACCTACCATGTAACCTGAATTGCCCATCATGAACTGGTTGTTATTTGACCCACCAGTCATAAAGTTGGATGAGCACAGCAGCACTCCATCATTGAATGAAGGTGATACATATGAAATTGGGCCTCAGCAGACCCTAAAGGCACAATAAATTACATGAAGAAGTGGCCCAAATGCCCATGGTTTCCCATTCTTGCTGCACCACCACCTCTCTCCCTGCCTGCACCTATGGCTTCAAGGGGAGTTCCTTATGATCAATCAACACAAGAAGAGGAGACTTAGGCCTGGTTTACAGATGGCTTTGTGTGATATGTAGGCTCCACATTAAAGTACACAGCTGCAGCACTACAGCTCCTATCTGGGGCATCCCTGAAGCAAAGTAGTGAAGAGAAATCCTCCCACTGGGCAGAACAATGAGCAGTGTACTACTGCACCACAAGGAAGGAAAGGAAGAGTGTCTAGAATACAAGAGATCCCATAGGGCATCGTTTAGTGTTGCCGTGCCTTGTGATAAAGGTCAATGGAAAACTCCCAACAGCCTGGTCCAGACCCTTCAGAAATGAAGATTTGAATTACACCAGCAAGTAAAGAACCAGGAGCATCTGAGGTGCTTGTTGAAGGCAGATGTAATAAATAATAGGTAATGGAAGAAAGTAGTGATAAATACCGGCTGTGACCATAGGATGACAACAGAGATGAAGATTGTACTTGTCATGTGTATTTCTTCCTTCTTTTGTCATGAATATGTTCATATATTTATATGTGTATATATATATTTATGTTTTTCTGTGTATATATTTGTAAATACACACATAGCAAGTGGTTTTTTTTTTTCTTGCTCTTATTCTCTTGCATAATGATTTTATGTCATATTTGAGTATCCAGCAAATTTGGGAAACTCAGCAGTGGCCACAGAACTGGAAAAGGTCAGTTTTCATTCCAATCCCAAAGAAAAGCAATGCCAAAGAATACTCAAATTACCGCACAATTGCACTCATCTCACATGCTAGCAAAGTAATGCTTAAAATTCTCCAAGCCAGGCTTCAGCAATATGTGAACCATGAAATTCCAGATGTTCAAACTGGTTTTAGAAAAGGCAGAGGAACCAGAGATCAAATTGCCAACATATGTTGGATTGTCAAAAAAGCAACAGGGTTCCAGAAAAACATCTATTTCTGCTTTATTGACTATGCCAAAGCCTATTGACTGTGTGGATCATAACAAATTGAAAAATTCTTAAAGAGATGGGAATACTAGACCACTTGACCTGCCTCCTGAGAAACCTGTATGCAGGTCAAGAAGCAACAGTTAGAACTGGACATGGAACAACAGACTAGTTGCAAATTGGGAAAGGAGTACGTCAAGGCTGTATATTGTCACCTTGCTTATTTAACTTATATGCAGCATACATCATGTGAAATGCTGGGCTGGATGAAGCACAAGCTGGAATCAAGATTGCCGGGAGAAATATCAATAACCTCAGATACACAGATGACACCATGCTCATGGCAGAAAGCGAAGAAGAACTAAAGAGCCTCTTGATGAAAATGAAAGAGGAGAGTGAAAAAGTTGGCTTAAAACTCAACATTCAAGAAACTAAGATCATAGTATCCGGTCCCATCACTTCATGGGGAAACAATGACAGCCTTTATTTTCTTGGGCTCCAAAATCACTGCAGATAGTGACTGCAGCCTTGAAATTAAGACATGTGTTCCTTGGAAGAAAAGCTATGACCAGTCTAGACCACATATTAAAAAGCAGAGGCTTTACTTTGCTGACAAAGTTCCAGCTAGTCAAAGGTATGGTTTTTCTAGTAGTCATGTATGGATGTGAGAGTTGAACTATAAAGAAAGCTGAGTGCCGAAGAATTGATGCTTTTGAACTGTGGTGTTGGAGAAGACTCTTGAAAGTCCCTTAAAGTGCAAGGAGATCCAACCAGTCCATCCTAAAGGCAATCAGTCCTGAATATTCATTGGAGGACAGCAAGGAGATCCAACCAGTCCATCCTAAAGGCAATCAGTCCTGAATATTCATTGGAAGCTGAAGCTGAAACTCCAATACTTTGGCCACCTGATGTGAAGAACTGACTCGTTTGAAGACCCTGATGCTGGCAAAGATTGAAGGCAGGAGGAGAAGAGGACAATAGAGGATAAGATGGTTGGATGGCATCACCGACTTGATGAACATGAGTTTGAGTAAACTCCGGGAGTTGGTGATAGACAGGGAAGCCTGACGTGCTTGCTGCAGTCCATAGGGTGACAAAGAGTCGGACACGACTGAGTGACTGAACTGAACTGAATTTTATATCATAGGTTTTTTTAATGGTTACATATTTATTTATTTATTTATTCATTTATTTATTTTTGACTGTGCTATGTCTTTGTTGATGCGCCCGGGCTTTCTCTAGTTGCAGTGAGTGGGGGCTACTCTCTAGTTGTGATAAATGGGCTTCTCGTTGCGGTGGCTTCTTGTTGTGGAGCACAGACTCTAGGTGCGAGGGCTTCAGGGGTTGCACCATGCAGGTTCTAGAGCACAGGCTCAGTAACTGTGGCATGTGGACTTGGTTTCCCCGTGGCATGTCGGATCTTCCTGGACCAGGAATTGAACCTGTGTCCCCTGCATTGGCAGGTGGATTCTTAACCACTGCACCACCAGGGAAGTCCTATATCATTGTTTTTAAATTATAGGGTATCAAGTTATCAGGATATCAATGAACAATGCAGAGAAATAGAAGAAAATGACAGAAGGGGAAAGACTAGAGATCTCTTTAAGAAAATTGGAGATATCGCAGGAAGATTTCATGGACGGATGGGCACAATAAAGGATAGAAACAATAAAGACCTAATAGAAGCAAAAGCAATGGCAAGAATACACAGAAGAACTTTACGAAAAAGATCTTTATGACCCAGATAACCACTATGGTGTGGTCACTCAGTCAGAGCCAGACATCCTGGAGTGTGAAGTCAAGTGGACCTTAGGAAGCACTGCTGCCAGTAAAGCTAGTGGAGGTGATGGCATTCCAGCAGAGCTATTTAAAATCCTAAATGGTGATGCTGTTAAAGTGTTGCGCTCAGAATGTCAACAAATTCGGAAAACTCATCAGTGGCCACAGGACTAGAAAAGGTCAGTCTTCATCCTGGTTACCAGAAGGGCAGTACTAAAGAATGTTCAAACCACCGAACAGTTGCAGTCACTTCCCATGCTAATCAGGTTATGCTCAAAATCCTTCAAGCTAGGCTTCAGATGTACGTGAACCGACAACTTCCAGATGTACAAGCTGGGTTTAGAAAACGCATCAAGGAGAAGAGTAATCATCACTTTAGGACTTCACTTCCTTTTTTGACAAAGGGGTTTTAGTGCATCTTTGATTGTATACAGCATAGTTATATCATGTTGGGTAATCCATGATCTCATTTGTTATTGTGTGTATTTGGAGATTAAGTATGGTTTAAGGCAAACCTAATAGCTCAGCTGGTAAAGAATCCACCTGCAATGCAGGAGACCCTGGTTCGATTCCTGGGTCGGGAAGATCCACTGGAGAAGGGATAGGCAAACCTACTCAAGTATTCTTGAGCTTCCTTTGTGGCTCAGCTGCTGGTAAAGAACCTGCCTGCAATGTGGGAGACCTGGGTTCAATCTCTGGTTTTGGAAGATCCCCTAGAGAGGGGAAAGGCTACCCACTCCAGTATTCTGGCCTGGAGAATTCCATGGACTATACAGTTGCAAAGAGTTGGACACGACTGAGCAAGTTTCACTTCACTTCAAGACAAACCTGGTGGCTCAGATGGTAAAAGAATCTGCCAGTGATGCGGGAGACCAGGTTCAATCCCTGGGTTGGGAAGATACCCTGGAGAAGGGAATGGCTACCCACTGCAGTATTCTTGCCTGGAGAATTCCATGAATACAGGAGCCTGGTGGGCTACAGTTTATGGAGTCTCAAAGATTTGGACATGACTGAGTGCCTAAAGCAAAGTGTATGGGTGTCAAGTTGACACAGGGTGAACTTGTGATGGTTAATTTTATGTGTCAACTTGACTAGGCTAGAGGGTGCCCAGATAATCTGGTCAAATATTGTCCTAGGTGTGTCTATAGACAGAAACACTAGGTGTTTCTGGGTGAAATTATCATTTGCAATGGTAGACTGGGGCAAAGTAGATTGCCTTCTCTACAGTGGGTGAGTCTCATCAAATCATTTGAAGGCCTGAGTAGAACAAAAAGGCTAAGGAAGAGGGAACTTTCTGCCTGCCTGACTGCTTTTGAGCTGGGACATCAACTTTTTTTTTTTCCTGCCTTCAAATGTTAAACTGAAACATTGGCTCTTCCTGGGTCTCAAGCCTGTGGGAATTCAGACTGGAACTGTATCATGGGCTCTTCTGGGTCTCCAGCATTGCTAACTGTAGATCTCAGGATTTGTCACTCCTATAATAGAGTGAATCAGTTCTTTATAATTAACAAATACACATACATATGCACACATGAGTACACATCCTGTTCATTCTGTTTCTGGTGAACCCTGACTATATAAATAGTATTTATTGTTCATAGTTTCTTTATTTTCATTTAAGGAAATTTCATCAAAATTTTCTTGTTGAAAAATTGGGAGAAAAAGTTATTTAAATCTCCATAAAAATTTCAATCTCTCATCCAGTTCAAAGCTTCTGCTTAATGCTTACTTTATTTTGTGCCTGCCCTGTACTTCTCCAAATAAGCAGTGTGGCAAGGGATTGTGATCTGTTTCATTATTTCATTGGTCCCCTTCTCTCCTAGTCCTCTGCTGTATCTGGCTTCTTCCACATTGGCAGTGAGGGTGGATGTTGAGTGAGAATAGAAAGCAAAAGAGTAGAATCTTTCTTGACTGGTGCTGGTGTAATCTAGCACTGGTGCCCTTTGTGTGGCTAATGACCAAATACTGCCTGTTTTTCTCTATCATAGAATGTGTGTATGTGTGTGTCATTTTTTCCAGTTGACCTCTTATGAATGCCTCTCCTTCTCTTGTTCAGCTGACACTCCCTTAAAGGCCTCCAGCCACATGTACTTTTTTTTTCCATGAAAGCAAAGCTTGACTGTCTTCCAGTGTCCTTGGTCACAGGGTATATTCTTACCTACCATAAAGTAAAAAGGCAAACTTCTCTTGTTGCTGCTTCCTTTCCTTATTCTAGTCCATCTTTGTCTTTATCACTTTATTTTTGCTGTGTAAACCACCCTCCTAAAACTTAATGACTTAAAATAACAACCCTTTTAGTATTACTGTGCTTGAACAGCTGAGCAGTTCTCAGCTGGGCTCCTTCATGCACCTGCTATCAGATACAAGTCAGCTAGGTGGCTCTGGAGTTGAATGGATATCAGGGTGATTGGGTTGACTGGGCCATGTGTCTTTTATCATTCACCATTTATTCTGGGCTCTTCCACAGGGCATCATCATCATCTTAGTTGCTCAGTAGTGTCCAACTCTTTGCTACCCCATGGACTGTAGCCTGCCATGCTCCTCTGTCCAAGGGGCTTCCCTGGTAGCTCAGAGGGTAAAGTGTCTGCCTGCAATGCGGGAGACCTGGGTTCGATCCCCAGGTCAGGAAGATCCCCTGGAGGTGGAAATGGCAACCCACTCCAGTACTCTTGCCTGGAAAATTCCACAGATGGAGGAACCTGTTAGGCTACAGTCCATGGGGTCGCAAAGAGTCACACATGACTGAGCAACTTCACTTCCACAGGGCAGAAGAGCTCAATAGGAGAGAGCAGAAATAATCAAGGCCCCTTGAGTCTTGGGCGCCAAACTGGTACACCTTTATTTCCTTTTCTGTCTATCAGAGCAAGGCCCAAGGTTGCCATAGATTCATGGAGTAGAAAATAGACTCTATTTCTTGATGGGAGAACCCGCAGTGTCATATTGCAAAGGTGAGAGCACAAAGAAAGAGAAAAATTGCAGTAATTTTTGCAAACAATCTGCAAGGTATGGATACACACTGCTAGCCATATATGTAATTCTCCTTGGTTCACCATCACCCTCATGGAATGGGGTTGTGCTGTGATCTTCTGGAGATCAGCTCCCTGCTCTCCCTGTTCTGCTGCCCTTCTTAATTTCTGGTGTGAAGGAGAGGGAGAATAAAGCCTATATTCCTGTGCTCATTAGTAATTTAATGAAGGGGAATTATTTTTTCCATTAAAATGGTATTCAAAGTAGAGTTTAAATGTAATAGAATCAAAACATTGAAATGTACGTTCTAAGCCAAACAACAACTACTTGTAAATAAACATCAGAAATCAAATTCTTAGGAGACCTGTAGCTTTCTATGGGGAAAGAAGAAAACAGCATTTTTCACTCATTCTGTACAGCCCTTTGAAAGACACTTGTCTTGGTGAATCCTGTCCAGTGAATCTCTAACTCAGAAAATGATGTTGCATTGATACACAAGCACTCTAACATAGATCACTCTGATAGGACTGTGATAAACTTTTCAACTAAAAATGCCATCTTTTTTTACAGGTATTGAGTAGCATCAATTCAATTATTCATAATCCAAGAGCTCCAGTAATAATATATAAACAGAGCAAAGGAACAGCCCAACATTTTAATAGAGATCTTGTTCAGGATTGTGGATTTGAGCATCTTGTTCCTATAATAGAAATGTGGGCAGATCAACTGGCTTCCTTAAAGGTATGTGGTTGAATACTCTTTACATGATTTGAAAATATATCAGAGTCTGTGGGCTTTATATACTTTTATTAATCAAAGTTTTATATTTGGTATGCTTTTACCATAGTTTTTTTCTTTATAATCGTACCTTATTGATGAAATGTTGGTTAATGAAAGTGTCATTGTGTTGTGACTTCCAGACTTTTTCAAATTCTGGTGGTACTAGTTGTTTAGTACATTTATTTGACACTGAATATGTTGCCTTGAATTGCTAATTTTTTAAAAACTATCAAAATGTCATACTCTTCCTCCTTTTTACCAAATGCTGCTGCTGCTGCTACTAAGTCGCTTCAGTCGTGTCCGACTCTGTGCAACCCCATAGACGGCAGCCCACCAGGCTCCCCCATCTCTGGAATTCTCTAGGCAAGAGTACTGGAGTGGGGTGCCATTGCCTTCTCCATCTTACCAAATGAAAGGTTAACAATACTAATATGTGAGGTGTAGGTGTTAATTGTGCTTGTGCTTAGTCACTCAGTCATGTCCAACTCTACAACCCCATGGTCTGTAGCCCAACAGGCTCCTCTTTCCATGGGGATTCTCTCGACAAGAATACTGGAGTGGGTTGCATGCCTTCCTCCAGGGCGTCTTCCCAACCCAGGGATCGAAAGCAGGTCTCCTGCATCTAGGTGTTAATTCAGTTCAGTTCAGTCGCTCAGTTGTGTCCAACTCTTTGCGACCCCATGAATTGCAGCATGCCAGGCCTCCCTGTCCATCACCAACTCCTGGAGTTTACTCAAACTCATGTCCATCGAGTTGGTGATGCCATCCAGCCATCTCATCCTCTGTCTACCCCTTCTCCTCCTGCCCCCAATACCTCCCAGCATCAAGGTCTTTTCCAGTGAGTCAGCTCTTTTCATGAGGTGGCCAAAGTATTGGAGTTTCAGCTTCAGCATCAGTCTTTCCAATGAACACCCAGAGCTGCTCTTTCGGATGGACTGGTTGGATCTCCTTGCAGTCCAAGGAACTCTCAAGACTCTTCTCCAACACCACAGTTCAAAAGCATCAATTCTTTGGCGCTCAGCTTTCTTCACAGTCCAACTCTCACATCCATACATGAACACTGGAAAAACCATAGCCTTGATTAGATGGACCTTTGTTGGCAAAGTAAAAATGTCTCTGCTTTTTGATATGCTGTCTAGGTTGGTCGTAACTTTCCTTTCAAGGAGTAAGCGTCTTTTAATTTTATGGCTGCAATCACCATCTGCAGTGATTTTGGAGACCAAAAAAATAAAGTCTGACACTGTTTCCACTGTTTGCCCATTTATTTGCCACAAAGTGATGGGACCAGATGCCATGATCTTAGTTTTCTGAATGTTGAGCTTTAAGCCAACTTTTTCACTTTCCTCTTTGTCACTTTCATCAAGAGGCTTTTTAGTTCTTCTTCACTTTCTGCCATAAGGGTGGTGTCATCTGCATATCTGAGGTTATTGATATTTCTTCCAGCAATCCTGATTCCAGCTTGTGCTTCTTCCAGCCCAGCGTTTCTCATGATGTACTCTGCATATAAGTTAAATAAGCAGGGTGACAGTATACCGCCTTGACATACTCCTTTTCCTATTTGGAACCAGTCTGTTGTTCATGTCCAGTTCTAACTGTTGCTTCCTGACTTGCATATAGGTCAGGTGGTCTGGTATTCCCATCTCTTTCAGAATTTTCCACAGTTTATTGTGATCCACACATTCAAAGGCTTTGGCATACATAGTCAGCAAAGCAGAAACAGATATTTTTCTGGAACTCTCTTGCTTTTTCAATGGTCCAGTGGATGCTGGCAATTTGATCTCTGGTTCCTCTGCCTTTTCTAAAACCAACTTGAACATCTGGAAGTTCACAGTTCATGTATTGCTGAAGCATGGCTTTGAGAATTTTGAGCATTACTTTACTAGTGTGTGAGATGAGTGCAATTGTGCGGTAGCTTGATTATTCTTTGGGATTGCCTTTCTTTGGGATTGGAATGAAAACTTACCTTTTCCAGTCCTGTGGCCACTGCTGAGTTTTCCAAATTTGCTGGCATATTTAGTGCAGCACTTTCACAGCATCATCTTTCAGGATTTGAAATAGTTAATTAGTGAGTGTTAAATAAGTGGAGGACTAAAATAAGAAGTTGAGAAAATTAAGAACTTCCTGTGTTTCCGTCTGTATTCTGGAGTTGCACTGTCTAATACAGTAACCACTAAGCTACATGTAGATTTTGATCACTTGAAATATGATAGTTGCAATTGAAATGTGCTGCAAGTATAAAATTACACACCAGATTTAGTAGAAATAGTATGGAGATGATTAAAAGATAATTTAAATAGATGATCTGTTGATACTGTTTTGGATATATTGGGTTAAATATATTAAAATTGTCACCTATTTCTTTTTACTTTTTTAACATGGTTACTAGATAATATTACTGTGACACATATTACATTTCTTTTGCATGACATTGTTTTAAAGGGCCAAGCACCAAGCACTGTGCTATGTGTGTAGTTGATGCCCAGTAAATATTTGTTTATTGATTGACCAGTCTTAGACTTCTAAACTTCCAGGATCCCAGCTCCTTGTGCACAGTTTTAAACAGATTAGAATAACATATTTAGGCCAGGAAAACAAGTAGGCTGTCATGAAAATTAAGTAGAATTACTTTTTAGGCATCTTTTCGAATTAAATTTTTTCTTGGAGCTACATACATGGATGAATCTTGAAAAATATCCTAAATGAAAGAAACCTGTCACAAAAAGTCATATTGTATGATTCTGTTTTTTAATGAAATGAAATGCTCAGTATAGGCAAATCCACAGAAAAAGAAAATAGATTAGAGTTACCTAAAGCCTGGGAGTGAGAGAGAATGGGGAATAAGGGTTTCTTTTTGGCATGATGAAAATGTTCTAGAATTAAGATAATTGTGATGATTGCACATCTCTGTAAATGAGACTACTGAATTACATGCTTAAAGAGGATGAATTTTATGGTATGTGAATTACATCTCAGTAATAAATCTGTTTCTTAAAAAATCAAGGGCAAAATAGAAAGGACAAGCTTATTTTTTATCCATCAATAATTCAAAATAATTACTTAAATAATAGCATATGTTACTAATAAATAACATACAATTACTTTAAACATCCAGATTCCAGATAATCAGTATATGTATAATGTTTTCTATAAGGCCTGAAGAAAATGAATTAAACAGACTCTTTTAAACAGGTAATGGTATTTTAAAAAAAAATACTGATGATGGTTAATATATATATGTATTACATCTGCTTGCATAATTATATTTTATTAATGTGACTATGAAAACTTAAAAAATCCATAATAGCATATTATTTCTTTTGTTATGAAGGATTTATATAAGTCCCTGAAAATACTATCTGCAGAACTGGTGCCTTGGCATAATTTAAAGAAGCAGGATGAAAATGAAGGTGTCAGAGTTGAAGATCTGTTGTTTATAGTAGATACCATGTTAGAAGAAGTTGAAAATAAGGCAAAGGTAATACTACCCAGTACTTATATAGATATTCACATTTTAATGTGAAATTAATGATATGGATACAGATATTCTACTATAACTCTTTCTCTTTTTAAGGTTTTTATTAAAGATTTGGAATAATTTTAAGATGTAAACTTTTTCTTCCTCTCTTTTGGGCAGGACAGTAATATGCCAGACCTCCACATTTTGCGAGCTATTGTTTCTCACTTCCAAAAATTATTTGATGTTCCTTCTTTAACTGGAGTCTATCCTCGAATGAATGAAGTTTATACTAGGCTTGGAGAATTGAACAATGCTGTAAGAAACCTCCAAGAACTCTTAGAACTAGGTAATGACCCATTTTCATTTTTGGCCCCCCACTTAATAGTGATTATTAAAGTCTGACTCTCTGCGATCCCATGGACTGTAACCCACCAGGCTCCTCTGTCCATGGAATTCTCCGGGCAAGAATACTGGAGTGGGTAGCCATTCCCTTCTCCAGGGGATCTTCCCGATTCAGAGATTGAACCTGGGTCTCCTGCATTGCAGGCCGATTCTTTACTGTCTGAGCCACCAGGGAGGCCCCATTAATAAATCAACAAAAAGTAGGTAAAAAATTTAGGGTAACAGAAACATAGCATTTGATTTAATAATTTTTAAAATTCCCTTAAAATATTCTGTCCTTTTATTTCTCTTTTGCAGATAGTTCATCCTCATTGTGTGTGCTGGTAAGCACAGTTGGAAAATTGTGTAGGCTGATTAATGAAGATGTGAATGAAAAGATTATGCAGGTATTAGGACCTGAAGACCTTCAAAGGTATTTATTTTAAAAAGGTTGCAAAGTATTGTCCAGAATGTTTGGAGTGGTAAAATTAAAGATTTTCAAAACTCCATCAGTTATTTACCTTTCCTGTTTGGAATAGCATTTTTAAAAATAATCTCACACCTTAGGAATGGAGAGAATATCAAATATTTTCAAGATAAAAGTAGATTCTGGGCTCTGTAGGTCTACATAGGGTGGGTCAGGACTCCAGCATTTTTGCTATAATCTTATTCCCAAGGGAAATTATAATTGGAGAAAGTCAAACTTTGTTAGCAACTTCATGTTAATTCAGAATATATAAATAAGTCCAATTTTTAGCAGATTACCATAGATCACTGAATAATCACTAAGAGTATGTGCATTATTTGATAAGATAATAAGGATTTCTTTTTTATTTTTATTTTTTCCATTTACTTTTATTAGTTGGAGGCTAATTACTTTACAATGTTGTAGTGGTAGGGATTTCTTTTTTAAGGCTAGGCATCTCCAACATAAAATCTTAATTTTTTTTTAATGTCAAAATGTTATAGCTGTACTCTTCCTCCCTCCTCCCTCAGATTTTATACTGCATCATAAGGGAAGTATATGTTCCATACGTTCTGCAAGTTTTCCAAGAGGAACCCTAACCTAATCTGACACTTGAGGTTTCTGATACTTGATGATTTTAAAAGGAACGTATGTCTCACTATTGGTATTTTTCTCCTTCCCAGTTTTACAGATTACTGATACTTATTCTTAATGTTTAATAGAATACAGGATATGAAAGTCAACTATTTTTAGAAAATATGGTCTCTTAAAGACTCCTTAAGCTAAATGGAAAGTTCCCATATTAGAAATGTTAGATAGATTTAACCTTAGAACAGATGATTATACTGCTAGTAGATTTTTTTGTTTTGTTTTAGAAAAGTATTACTAGGTGAACAAAGAGAAGGAAAGATTGCAGTAAATAGTCATTAAATTTGTATTTAAATTAGCAGGACAGTTTCTTTCTGTTTTGAAATGTTCTATTTCCAATCAAATGTAAGAATCCTAAGTCAGAAATTCAGTATAAATTGTGCTTTTTTTTTTTAAAGCATTATCCGCAAATTGGAAGAACATGAGGAATTTTTCCCAGCATTTCAGGCATTTACTAATGATCTACTCAAAATCTTAGGTAAGATTTTTGTCAGAGGTGGATTTTGAGTCTCAGGATGTCATTGGGTTTGAGGAAAGAGTGTTCCTTAGTCACTGTATTAGTGTTTTTACCTAGAGTGGTAGAAAGTGTCTGGAAACCACTAATAGTTCTGAAAACAAACTTCTATTGGGGTTAATCTACAGAACAACAGAGAAACACATATTCTTTAAGGAGCTGGGGGCTGCCTTTGTTTTAGGACCTTAAAATGAGAAATGATGTTATTCTGGCTAGGCCCACTTTAAGCCTGACTGTCATTGGATAATGAGAAATGTCTGTAGAATTTCTGATCTTGATAGGTGTCTTTTTAATTTTTCTTCTTCCTCTTCCTCCTCTTCTTTTCTTTTTTTAAAAAAGATAGTTCCTACCTACTCTTTTTTAAAAATCTAATTTCCTCAGATGATGAGAAATAATATAAACATCTGTAGAAAGGAGATAAATTTATAAGTTTGTGGAAGGGAAGAGACACATTTTCACTCTTGGTCAGATTGAGGGCTTTAAGGGGAAAAAAATATAATTAGCTTAGGAATCATAGGCAAAATAAAAACCCACATCACTTACTTTAAGTGTGATTTATTATGGCTATAAAAATAATTAATCTTACCATTAAGAGCACTTTTTAGGGAATTTCTGATGGTCCAGTGGCTAGGACTATGTGTGTTCACTGTTGAGAGTGTAGGTTCATCCTCGGTAGGGGAGCTAAGATTCTCCAAAACCCAACAAAACAAAATCACTTTTTATTTTTAAAAAGGTTACAGTGATTTATTTACTTCATTAATTCATTATGATTAATGAATTTTTTTTCTGTGTAGCTCATTTGAAGTTGAAAGTTTTTTTTTTGTTTTTTAAATAATGACTCTTTGACATAGGAAATTAGAAGAGGAGATAAGGTTTGGTAGAAGATAAAGGAATGAGTAAGTTAAAATTTGGTAAGAAGATGAGTAAATGAAAGGCATATCTGACTGGAGTATATTGCCTTGTTGAACATACATTTTTGTGGCCAATTTTATGTAGACTGGAAGCAACGGAGACAGTGAGTGTACTTTATTCATGCTCATACCTTTGAAAAGATCATGGCAAGGGAAGACATAATTTGAAAGTTTAACTTGAGATTTGAAAATATATAAATGTATTTATTGCCTTGTATCTCAAAGAGCTTTGTTTCCTGCAATATGATTTTACTTGCTTTGAGGTAGTGATTAACAGTGAGTTTCTTGTCATTAAAAAACATTTTACTAGGTGTGCTAGTAGCACTTATTTCATAATCCTTGTATAGAAACTTCCTATCAAATATAATACTCAGCATGGTTCATGTGGGATCATTTGCTTTAATATACAGTGTTCATGTGCTGTTCGGTCACAGTTGAAATTCTGGAATAAATATTAACATTTCAGAAGTTAAATCAGTTTTGGCAAACATGACTATTTTTATTATTACTAGATGTGAGGTGGCTTAGTGATAAAGAATCCACCTGTCAGTGCTGGAGATATGGGTTCGATCCCTGGGTTGGGAAGATCCCCTGGAGAAGGAAATGGCAACCCACTCCAGTATTCTTGCCTGGGAAATCCCAGAGGAGCCTGGAGGGCTACAGTCCATGGGGTCGCAGAGTCAGACACAACTTAGCAACTAAACAACAAACAACAACAACAGATGTCATATTACGCATCTAGAACTACAGAGTGGATTACTGAATATCAGCTATGGCGAAGGACTTCCTTTTTTTCTCATGTAAGTGGTGTGATTAGTTGAGAAAATTCTCCTATCAACCAAGGTCCTTCTCTGTGAGGTTTATTTATAAGGCAGATTTCTTTCCTAGGGAGAAAACAGGTGTGATTTTAGAATGCGGATCATGGAATAACTTGATCTTTGTACCTTACTTACTACAGTGTAATTCTCAGCTGTGGATTTGCTCGTATTCTTTTCCTTTCTTGTATCGTCTGTGTTCCGACAGAAGAGATCCCTAAGTCTTTAGATGGAGGCCCAGGAAAGAGAAAGGGCCTCTCCTAGGGGTTTCACCATGTAAGCTCACCCATATATTAGTTAAAGAGGCAGTAACATAGTGTCATAAATATGGCGAGTAGGATCTGTTGTTAAGAGCACACTGCTAATGAGATTAATATCAGAGTCAGAAGATGCTTTTGTAGGTAGCTTTTACAAACAAATGTCCTGTGAATCAGTGATACACTTTTAGAGAAAAATTTCATGTGCTTGAAAGCACTAGTGATGTTGCCTTTGTGTTTGAGGTTTGCCTTTGCACAGAGATTATCATTTCATCTGAGCCTAACACTGGATGAAGCTACTGTTTTATTGTTGTTTTTCTGTTACAGAAATTGATGACTTGGATGCCATTGTACCTGCAGTAAGGAAATTAAAAATACTTTCATACTGAAAACAAATCAAATCATTTTTACTGTGTAAATTGCATTCTTAACATCCTAAGTATTTTGTAGGATCTTACTCTGAGATATGGGTTATAAAATGTACTTACCTCAAAATTTACCCCCTTCTTTCTATTGAGGCCTCATCTGTATAATTTTTATTGACTTTGAGATTCTTTTATAGAAAACAATTGCTAAGTTTAATTAATAAATTAACTTTAGATCCTTGAATAATTCTTAAGCAGTTCTTGAGTACTTAAAATTTAAGATTGTTTTAAACTACAGTGTGTGAATAAGAGAGAAACTCGGGGAGAGATAATGCAAGTAATAGAAAGGTTGCATTTAAGTTCAGAGTTTAGTGACCTTTTTGGTTCTAGGAACAAGGAATGCCATTGTCTGTCTTTATCCAACCAGCAGGAAGCTATTGCTTTCCTGGCAAGGAAATGGCACATTCTATTAAGATATCCCTCATAACATTTGCCCTTTCAGAGCAGAAGGAACAAAAGGAAGAAGGAAAAAAAAATTTTCCTGTTAGGGTAGGAAAGAATTATGAGGTAAAATAGATAAGTAGGTGTTAAGTCTCTCATTTTAAAAAGTGTCTTTTTTACTATCTTCATGTGATGTACCTTTTATAAGGGCATGGAATCTTAAATAAAATTTTGTAAAGAATTTCCAAATGTAAGTGTTCTCAGTGACTTATTTATATTCCTCATAAATAATGAGTTATATTCTCTTACTAGTCTGAGCCTTCCTTGGGCAGCTGGTTCACCCTTGCTACATTTTCTGTAAGAGTAGCTTTCTTGCCACTTTCTACATATTCTCTATTCTCAGTATTCATTCTGATTTTCTTAAAGGATAACTGTTCTGCTTCACATCCATGAGTACAGATCACTTTGGATTGCTGCTGCTCCCTTACTCCCTACCCCCACTTTTATAACTTCTTAGTTATTCTTGTTCATTGTCATATAGAATATTATAAAGATTTCCAGGAAGCAGCATAGTGGGATGCAGAGAATAAATGTCAAAATATAAGCACTCAGATCCTTAGTGGGGTGACCATAGGGATTAGAAGTAAGGTAATATCTTAGGTTTTTTTAGATTTAAAATTATTTGTTTTGTTTGCCTGCAATTACATTTCTTAACACTAGCCCACGATTTGTGAAAAAACTTGTGTCTTTGAGGGTTGGGTAGAAAAAGTATTTGGATATTCAGTAATATATATGCTCTTAGTTAATTAGAACTCCAAGAAGTTGTTGTGAGCCAGTTTGGAAATCCAGTGACTTTTGAAAAGAAGAAATACAATTTTTTAAATTGCAGCATAGTTGATTTACAATTGTGTTAGTTTCTGGTGTAGCAAAATGATTCAGTTTTATGTATGTGTTTGTATGTGTATACACACATTCTTTTTCATCTTCTTTCCCATTATGGTTTATTATGGGCTTCCCTGGTAACTCAGATGGTAAAGAATCTGCCTGCAATGTGGGAGACCTGGGTTTGATCTCTGGATTGGGAGGATTCCCTGGAGGAGGGCATGGCAACCCACTCCAGTATTCTTGCCTAGAGAATCCACCAGGACAAAGGAGCCTGGCAGACTACAATTCATGGGGTTGCAAAGACGTGAGTGTTTACAATTATAATAGTTTATTTTATTGTAAAAGTTTATGTAATTTACAATAGTTGATTTACAGTTGTGTTAGTTTCTGGTATAGCAAAATGATTCAGTTTTATGTGTGTGTGTGTGCATGTCTATACACACATTCTTTTTCATATTCTTTTCCATTATGGTTTATTGTAGGACACCAAATATAGTTTCTGTGCTATACAGTAGGACCTTGTTGTTTATCTGTTTTATATATAGTAGTTTGTATCTGCTAATCCCGAACTCTTAATTTATCCTTCCCCTACTCCCTTTTCCCTCTGGTAACCATGAGTTTGTTTTCTGTGTCTGTAAGTCTGTTTCATAAATAAGTTATTTATGTCATATTTTAGAGTTCACATACAAGTGATATCATATGGTATTTGTCTTTCTTTTTCTGACTTACTTCACTTAGTATGATAGTCTCTAGGTCCCTCCATGTTGCTGCAAATGGCATTATTTAATTCTTTTTTATGGCTGAGCAATATTCCATTGTATATATGTACCACATTTTCTCTATGTGTTCCTCTGTTGGTGGGCATTTAGGTTGCTTCCATGTCTTGGCTATTATAAATAGTGCTGGTATGAACATTGGGATACATGTATCATTTTGAATTATCATTTTCTCTCTATATATGCCCAGGAGTGGAATTGCTGGATCATATGGCAACTCTAATCTTAGTTTTTTAAGGAATCTCCATGCCGTTTTCCATAGCGGCTGCACCAGTTTACATTCCCACCAACAGCGTAGGGAGTTCCCTTTTCTCCACATCCTCTCCAGCATTTGTTATTTGTAGACTTTTTCATGATGGGCATTCTGACTGGTGTAAGGTGGTACCTGACTGTAGTTTTGATTTGCAGATAAGAAGTATAATTTAAAAATTATTTTATCAGAATTTTGTCAGCTAGTTTAAGAGAGCCTGTGGTTAACTCTTAGTTTAAAACAGGAGTTTTAAAACTCTTCCTCAAAGGCCTAGGCATTTTTTTGAGGGCCACTGAGAGGGATGGTAGCACTACTGGGGAGAACATTAGGCCCTCTCTATCAGATCTACTTTTATCCTGGCAATTCTACTTTTATCCAGTTGTAATTATTTAAAGTATAAGTACTGCAACCATTGATTGGCTCTTGATTTTTTACCATTTTATGGATGTATAATTGACATATAATAAATTGTACATAAACTATTGTTGTTGTTCAGGCACTCAGTCATGTCTGACTCTTTGCAACCTCGTGGACTATAGCATGCCAGGCTTCCCTGTCCTTCACTGTCTGCTGGAGTTTGCTCAGATTCATGTCCATTGAGTCAGTGATGCCATCCAACCATCTCATCCTCTGTCATCCCCTTCTCCTCCTGCCTTCAATCTTTCCCAGCATCAGGGTCTTTTTCAATAAGTCAGCTCTTCGCATCAGGTGGCCAAAGTATTGGAGTTTCAGCTTCAGCATTAATCCTTCAATGAATATTCAGAGTTTTGATTTCCTTCAGGATTGACTGGTTTCATCTCCTTGCAGTCCAAGGGACTGTCAGGAGTCTTCTCCAACATGACGGTTCAAAAGCATCAATTCTTTAGCGCTCAACCTTCTTTATAGTCCATCTCACATCCATACATGACTACTGGAAAACGCATAGCTTTGACTAGACGGACCTTTGTCAGCAAAGCAATATCTCTGCTTTTTAATATGCTGTCTAGGTTTGTCATAGCTTTTCTTCCAAGGAACAAGCGTCTTTTAATTTCATGGCTGCAGTGATTTTGGAGCCCCCAAAAATAAAATCTATCACTGTTACAATTTGATAAATCCTAATATACATATACATCTGTGAAACCATCAAAATAGTATACCTATTGTTCCAAGAGTTATTTCTTTGCCCTTCATGACCCCTCCCTATTCCTATCCTTAGGAAATAGCTGATCTGCTTTCCATCATTATAGACTAGTTTGCATGTGACAGGATTTTATATAAATGGAATCATGCCATATGTTCTCATTTTGTCTGGCTTCTTCCACTCAGCATAATTAATTTGTGATTTTTTTGCATGTTGTTGCATTTATTAACTGTCCATTCCTTTTTATTGCTGTGTCGTATTCCATTGTATGAAGATACCACAATTTGCCTATCCATTCATCTGTTGGTGGAAATTTAGGTTATTTCCAATTTTTGACTACTACAAATTTCATAGTAGTGTTCAGGTCTTCATATGGACATATACCTGATATCCAGTGACTTGAAAACTGTCATATTTTTGTTTCATTGATACAGGTGGAAGTGTAAATTTGCTTTCTGCTAGTCCTGGTTAAAAGTAAAGTATCTGAAAACATGTAGTGTTTCTTATGTTGTCTTTCATTTTTTTTTAGTTGTATTGTACTGTAGTCAGAGAATATGGTCTTTTGGTATTGAATCTTTGGAATTCATTGATATTTTCTTTGTGACTTTAATCTGATGAATTTCCACATATTCCACATGTGCTTTAAAAAGTCTAATCTCTAATATATACATATATATGTGTGCATATATATGTAGTGTTATTAATATATTATTTAAGTCAACTTCACTTCTATCATTTTTTTTGTCTGCTTGATTTAGTTTATGGGAAATTCTGAAATCCCTGAACTTGTCAAATTTTGTTTTTTTATAAGTACTTTAAGAAGTACTTTGGCCTGTTTTATAAGTACTTATAAATTCATAGTCAGTAATATCTTCTTGATTAATATCTCTTCATTGCTATATATGCTTTTACCTTGAATGTAGTTTTGTCCTTTTAGTTAATAGTTGCTGGATATTCTTTTCCTTTTTTCTTCTTATTTCACTAATTGTTTTTTATATGTTATAAAATACAACACATATACTAAGTACAGTAAAAAACATAAATTTCAAGTATACTAATGATTATAAAGTGAACACCCATGCAACATCGAAGAAATAGAACATCACCAGCACTCTGAAAGGCCTTCCCCATACACCATATGTGTCTTCCCCCAAGAGATAATCATTAGCTTGGCTTATGGTAATCATTTACTTGTTTTTTCTTTTTTTTTTAAAATAGTTTTGCCAGTTGTGTGTGTATGCCTAAACCAAGATAGTTGAGTTTTGCTGGTTTTGAGCTTTATAAAAATAGAATCATGCTGTATATTCTTCTTAATTCTTTTGTTCAACATTATGTTTGTATTGTTCATCTATATTGTTTTATGTAGGTCCAGGTCACTTGTTTTCATTGGTGTCTGGTATTCTTCTATGAATGTTCCATAATCCATTTGTTTGTTGTTCTAGGGATTGGCATTTGGGTTGCTTCCAGTTCTTGGCTATTGTGAGCTACTGCTGTGAACATTCTTGTACATGAATCCTTGTTCACTTGTGTGCAGGTTTTATAGAATCAATATCTAAGAGGCAAAATTGCTGGGTCTAGTACTCTTGCTTGGAAAATCCCATGGACGGAGGAGCCTGGTAGGCTGCAGACCATGGGGTCACGAAGAGTCAGACACGACTGAGCGACTTCACTTTCACTTTTCACTTTCATGCATTGGAGAAGGAAATGGCAACCCACTCCATTGCTCTTGCCTGGAGAATCCCAGGGACGGGGAAACCTAGTGGGCTGCCATCTATGGGGTCACATAGAGTTGGCCACAACTGAAGTGACTTGGCAGCAGCAGAGGAAAACACATCTAATGATGTGAATGGATCCTCTGGGGTTGTATAGTGTGTGACTTTGATAGATCATATGTATTTTAACTTTAGAAGAAAATGCCAAACTGTTTTCCAGAGTAGTTGTACCAACTTATACTCCCACCATTAATGTTTGAAGGGTCCTCAGTTTTCCATATTTGAGCAACTTTTGATGAGTTTGTTTTTTTTTTTATGCCAGTATAATGTGTAGAGCTCTTAGTGTGACTTTAATGTTTATTTTCCTGATTACTAATGAAGTTAAACATCTTTTCCTTTGTTTTTTTAGTTTGTAGTTTATTTTTGAAGTGCTTGTATGTGTCTTTGGTGTCTTTTTCTGTTGGACAGTCTGTCTTCCTATTGATTTGTAAGAGTTATTTATATCT